GGCTTACGCACCAGGGTTTTTGACGTACTAGTTCACCTAAATTCTAGCGTCCTCAAATCTAGCGAGAGAAAGCTGGTAGGCCTACATATGAAAGAATGGGTCTATGTGGTCAGTATGCGCAGTATAAAAAAAATCCTGCAGCACACAGTGCGTAATGAGAAAAAAAAAAACTGACCATGTTTTTGGATTAAAACAGTGACTTTGCCCTGTATTTTTGTATGGTATTTATTGTTGTATTCTAGTTTTCCTGGTCTCATTTTATAGAATGGAAGACTTATTACAAAAATCGAGATGATTTTGACTGGTTTTACAATGAAAAGTACCTTGAAATTGAGCTCAAAGTAGCAGAAATGTTTGATTTTTACCGAAGTTCAAAAGTAAACAAATCATGCCAAGCGTCCAATACATGTCAACTGGCGAGTCTAATATTCTTTCACAAGTGCACTGATATTATTTATACCATTTCTACACCATTTCTACACTAATGCAGTAGTCTGCATAACAGTAAATCCGTAGACAGCCTGTACTGTCTGCACAGACAGCCTTGCTGTCTGCCAGCTTAGTCCATATTTTGCACCACTAAAGTGCTGCCCTCTGGGCCTGTCCAGGTCTGTGGGAATCTGGTCCCACACACTCTCATAGCGGCCTAGCAGCAAGACAGAAGGCCTACTAGCTCTCTCGTGGGATGACCCTCCCGGGCCATGGGCACAACATACAAGCCTGTGTACCCACCACGCCTTAACAATAAAGTAAGAAGCCTCCAAAGACATATCATTTACTCCCCGCTACCAGAACGCCAAACAAACTGGTTATAAATCTTCTATTTTTTGTGAGAATAAAAATTCAAAGTGGAAAGCAAGAGAATGTAAGAGGGGCGTTGGGACGTGACTAACGAACAGAGAAAATGTTATTTTAGTGCCAGGAATGTCTGTCTTGCTTATTCTGGATCCTATTTGGAAATTGGCATCTTCTGAAATTTGTGTGAAATTGGCAAAATTGCTAAATTCTGACCAATGTATTGGATAGTTGAAATCGGTAAATGGGTGGTTTCTTGTACTCATTCAATAGAAAAAAATGGAGTTCTAGCGAAATAGTTATGATTTTTGTCGACTAGTACACTGGAATTGGCCGAAAATAGGGCTCAAAGTGGGCAAAATTGCCGATGCGTCAACATCGTCGAGACCGCTAACTTCACGAAAGCATAATTCCGTAGGTTTTCCATCAAATTTCATACTTTTGGTGTCACTATGATCGGGAAAAGATTCTCTATCTTCTCATACAATTTTTTTTTTTTTTTTAAATTTGGGCAACCCTGAGAACAAGTCTGGCAGAGGGCCTGGGGACCCTGAAAGGGTTAAAGCCCATACTTCACACCCATATACAGTGGTGGTACCACTATACCCTGGTTCATACCCCTTTCTGTCTCCATGCCTTTTGGATCTAAAATTTATCAACAGTAAACTCCCACAAGGTGCACAATAATAGATCACATTTTCAGCAATTTAAATTTACTTATTCCTTGTCATTAGTAGCACGTCACTACCATTAAGTCAGTGAAAATAGTGGCATGCATTACCATTATGGTGTGTCCTTCCACCCTTTGGGCAAGGCCATGGTTTTGATAGCATCATGACTGACACAAACAAGTCGTCAGTCTATCTGATAACATACTACATGGTCTCTGAGGTTACTGTACAGTGGACCCCCGCATAACGATCACCTCCGAATGCGACCAATTATGTAAGTGTATTTATGTAAGTGCGTTTGTACGTGTATGTTTGGGAGTCTGAAATGGACTAATTTACTTCACAATATTCCTTATGGGAACAAATTCTGTCAGTACTGGCACCTGAACATACTTCTGGAGTGAAAAAAATATCGTTAACCGGGGGTCCACTGTATTTCTGTTCATCTCACCTTGCTTCATCTCTAGATATTAACCAAGACACTCAAAAGAAATAAACATGAAACTTACAATTTCTATGAAAATTGTAGTTGAAACTATGGTTGTGAAGGTGGGTGGTGGTTATGGCTGGTAGGTTGCTCACATGGCTAGAGTAGCACAATTACATTGATTATATAATCTTTTGCCTTAAACAGTCCTTTACCTACTTTAGCTACATTTATATATTTGTTGAATATATTGGAAATTCATAATACAATAGCATGAAAAATTTATGAGAACTGTGTAGTGTTTATGATGTACATGTAGTCAAGAGACTACTGGCAGCCATTTTAGCTGACAAGGGCCACATCAACTATGCTTACACACTTCTGTAGCGACAAGGAGCAAGGAATGGAATGTAAGAAAATTCGTCACTTATTTACCCTATTTCAAACAAGAAACAACTGTATTATGTGTTACCTAATATGTATAGTATTAGATAACATTCATTCCGCTTCCTGTGGAATGAATATGTTATCTAATCAATAAGCTAATTTGGATTAAAAAAGCAATAGGAAATGAAACCTCTTCAGAAAGAAACATTCAACAGTCGGCTTCCCCAGGCCATAGGAATGGAGGGCTGATTAACGCAACCGCATGCCCCCCCCCCCCCCCGTATGTTTTTCACTTCAAAAGCCACATATTTCAAGAGCATAACCTAACCTGCATGAACTATGAACATCTACTGTATATATTTTAGATGGAATATAATTACAGTGTGGTTTTTGCCCTTTATGCACCTAAGAAGTGAGCAAAAGGCCCTTAATATTCAAGGATTTCAACCTGTCTAAAGTATTTTGAGTAAGTTAACTTCACTACAATCTGCTTAAATATTTGATCCTAAAACCTAAACGCATAATCAGTTATAAACTGTAATTATATTTTGACTTGCTATTCCACACTGGTCTATTCCCAGTAACCATCTACAATGGTTTAGGATATGTGCCGTTTAGAGTGACACCTAAACTGTCGTATCTGTGCTCCTCTGACAAGACAGTGAGTGCAAATGATGGTGAAAGTTTCTTTTTCCAGGTCCCCTGCCTCAGTGGGAGATGGGCAGTTAAAAAATAAATAAATCTACAATGGCTTTAATAAGTAGGCTAAGATTTTGTTACCTTTTACACATTCACAAGCATGAGTTTGACGAGTGGCATGCTTGTGATCTAGTTTTTAGTTATTCTACTCTTGAAGCTCAACCAAAGGTCAGATTTCACTGCTGACTACTTGGTCAACCAGACTGCTGCTGCTAGCAGCATGCACCTTTTATCATCGTGCGTCAGTGTGTTGCAATGCCAGTTAAAATTATTCATTCAGGATTTCTCACTTCATTGATGACTACAGTACAGCAAGTATTTTACTCACTTCATTGATGACTACAGTACAGCAAGTATTTTACTCACTTCATTGATGACTACAGTACAGCAAGTATTTTACTCACTTCATTGACGACTCCAGAAAAGCAAGGCCATCTTACTAATTTTTGCTGAAGGTAAACCATGTGTAAAACCATTTACATCATACATTAATAAAATGATGAATAGTTCAAAACCTAATTAGTGAATGTGTGTTCACAGTGCCCATAAAAAATGAGTTAATATAAAGGTGCATACTGCAAATTTTCTCAAAGGCTTTTCAAAGACTATTGAATGAAATGTTGGACTTGCTAATCTGGCATTCCATCAGAGTTATAAATTAAAGGAAATTTATTATAATTATATTAATGGAAATCAATAGCAGATTTCAGTATACATAATGTACATATTTAAAAAAAATTACACACTTACACAGCAATATAGTGTTTTTTTTTTTTTTTTTTTTTTTTTGGTCTCAACCAATATGGTGATGAGAATACAAGTCGCAATATAAAATATAATCACACCATTCCATAGAGAAGAGAAATATAAAGAGCCTAGCTTGATATGTCAAACCATCCTACTTTCAGAGAGCACAAGAAAATCACTACCAGTGCAAGACACTTGTTAGCCTGGATAACAGCCAATGCTTAAAAGTTATTACAACCATCATACATGGGCTCATTAACTACTAAACTGCACTAACAGTATATATTCCTGCTACTCCATTCATTACTAATACAATTAACTATCAGTCTACTGACTGCAAGCAATGCAGTAGATTCTCATTTTTTTTTTTTATTAACGCATCAGCCATTTCCCAGTGAAGCAAGGCGACTTTAAGAAACTTTCACCACCACTCACTCCACTGTCCTGCCAGAGGCATGCCTATTGTATAGTTAAAAAATTACAACACATTAACAGCCCTCTTTCAGAGCTCAGGCAATGTGCTTCCAACCTCCAGCTAACTGATTTCCCAGAATCCCTTCAAAAGTTACTCTGCTCACGCTCCAACAGCACGTCAAGTCATAAAAACCACGTGTCTCCACTCGCTCCTATAAAACACACTCATGCACACTTATTGAAGTCCAAGCTCCCTTGCACACAACCTCTTGTACCCCCCTCCCCCATCTTCTCTAAGTGTCTGAACCACCTTAACAACCCCTCCTCAGCCCTCTGGATAATAATTTTATAAGCCCCACACCACCACCTAATTTCCAAGCTACGGATTCTCTGCATTATATTCACACCGCACATTACCCTCAGACACGACATCTCTACTGCCTCCAGCCTTCTTGCTGCAACATTCACCACCCATGCTTCACACCCATATAAGTGTTGGTGCCACTATACTCTCATACATTCCCCTCTTTGCTTCCATATTAAATTTATCAGGAAATTTTTTTTTTTACATTTTACACCAAAGTATTTACCCAATGTTAATTTTGTGTATGCATAGAAACACTGATCCTGAACTTAAATCTGACTCCCAACCACAGCCATTAGCTTGTTCATCATTACTATAAAGTAAATACTGTCAGAAATATCATCCGTGACGAGAGGAGCAGCAGTGCGTCCAACTACAATACCAGATCCCAAAACACAATGCTAACATACATGTCCTACTAGTCTCTCAATAACCACTTCTCATTCATAATTCTAACAGACTTGGCTAAAACATGATTTAAATGTATTTAACATACCTGGGAATACAGCTATACACAACTGTAGACCTAATAAGAAAGGAGAAGGTATTTCAATCTATTACTGTTTACTGATGAGATGCAGTGTAAAAATATAAACAAGAGATGCCTATGGAGAAGAAATATTTGTTCAGCTTAGTACCAACAAGTTCAAAACCTTGATAATTAAAACTTTATAAATTTTTAACATAACATAAAATTATGACAATTTCAGAAATCGACCATATATTACCAGCCATAAGTAAGCCTTTATATATATATTATTATTTTTTTTCTTCAACAAGTCGGCCGTCTCCCACCGAGGCAGGGTGACCCAAAAAGAAAATACTTTCATCAAACACTTTCACCTCACTCACACATAATCACTGTTTTTGCAGAGGTGCTCAGAACAACGGTTTAGAAGCATATACGTATAAAGGTACACAACATATCCCTCCAAACTGCTAATATCCCAAACCCCTCCTTTAGAGTGAAGGCATTATACTTCCCATTTCCAGGACTCAAGTCTGGCTATATAAAAATAACTGGTTTCCCTGAATCCCTTCACTACATATTACCCTGCTCACACTCCAACAGATTGTCAGGTCCCAAATACCATTCGTCTCCATTCACTCCTATCGAACATGCTAATGCACGCCTGCGGGAAGTCCAAGCCCCCTCGCCCACAAAACCTCCCTTACCCCTTCCTTTCAACCTTTTCGAGGACGACCCCTACCCCACCTTCCTTCTCCTACAGATTTAAATGCTCTCCATGTCATTCTACTTTGATCCATTCTCTCTAAATGACCAAACCACCTCAACAACCCCTCTTCAGCCCTCTGACTAATACTTTTATTAACTCCACACCTTCTCCTAATTTCCACACTCCGAATTTTCTGCTTAATATTTACACCACACATTGCCCTTAGACAGGACATCTCCACTGCCTCCAACCGCCTCCTCGCTGCTGCATTCACTACCCAAGCTTCACACCCATATAAAAGTGTTGGTACTACTATACTTTCATACATTCCCTTCTTTGCCTCCACAGATAACATTTTTTGACTCCACATATAACTCAACGCACCACTCACCTTTTTTCCTTCATCAATTCTATGATTAACCTCATCCTTCATAAATCCATCCGCCGGCACATCAACTCCCAAGTATCTGAAAACATTCACTTCTTCCATACTCCTCCCCAATTTGATATTCAATTTTTCTTTATCTAAATCATTTGATACCCTCATCACCTTACTCTTTTCTATGTTCACTTTCAACTTTCTACCTTTACACACACTCCTAAACTCATCTACTAACCTTTGCAATTTTTCTTTAGAATCTCCCATAAGGACAGTATCATCAGCAAAAAGTAACTGTCAATTCCCATTTCGTATTTGATTCCCCATAATTTAATCCCACCCCTCTACCGAACACCCTAGCATTTACTTCTTTTACAACCCCATCTATAAATATATTAAACAACCATGGTGACATTACACATCCCTGTCTAAGACCTACTTTTACCGGGAAGTAGTCTCCCTCTCTTCTACACACCCTAACCTGAGCCTCACTATCCTAATAAAAACTCTTTACAGCATTTAGTAACTTACCACCTATTCCATATACTTGCAACATCTGCCACATTGCTCCCCTATCCACTATCATATGCCTTTTCTAAATCCATAAATGCAATAAAAACTTCCCTACCTTTATCTAAATACTGTTCACATATATGCTTCAATGTAAACACTTGATCTACACATCCACTACCCACTCAGAAACCTCCTTGCTCATCCGCAATCCTACATTCTGTCTTACCACTAATTCTTTCAATAATAACCCTACTGTACGCTTTTCCTGGTATACTCAATAAACTTATTCCTCGATAATTTTTACAATCTCTTTTGTCCCCCTTCCCTTTATATAAAGGGACTATACATGCTCTCTGCCAATCCCTAGGTACCTTCCCCTCTTTCATACATTTATTAAACAAAAGTACCAACCACTCTAACACTATATCCCCCCCTGCTTTTAACATTTCTGTCATGATCCCATCAGTTCCAGATGCTTTACCCCCTTTCATTCTACGTAATGCCTCACGTACCTCCCCCACACTTACATTCTGCTCTTCTTCACTCCTAAAAGATGGTATACCTCTCTGGCCAGTGCATGAAATTACCACCTCCCTTTCTTCCTCAACATTTAAAAGTTCCTCAAAATATTCTCTCCATCTACCTAATACCTCCCTCTCCCCATCTACTAACTCCCCTACTCTGTTTTTTAACTGACAAATGCATACTTTCCCTAGGCTTTCTTAACTTGTTTAACCCCAAAAATTTTTCTTATTTTCATTAAAATTTCTTGACAGTGCCTCTCCCACTCCATCATCTGCTCTCCTTTTGCACTCTCTCACCACTCTCTTCACCTTTCTTTTACTCTCCATATACTCTGCTCTTCTTATAACACTTCTGCTTTGTAAAAACCTCTCATAAGCTAACTTTTTCTCTTATCACACCCTCTACTTCATCATTCCACCAATCACTCCTCTTTCCTCCTGCCCCCACCCTCCTATAACCACAAACTTCTGCCCCACATTCTAATACTGCATTTTTAAAACTATTCCAACCCTCTTCAACCCCCCCACTACTCATCTTTGCACTAGCCCACCTTTCTGCCAATAGTCGCTTATGTCTCACCCGAACTTCCTCCTCCCTCCTACTTGTTGTTGCCACCTTCCTCTTGTCCCATCTACCTCTTACTCTAACTGTAGCTACAACTAAATAATGATCCGATACATAAGTTGCCCCTCTATAAACATGTGCATCCTGGAGCCTAGCCATGAACCTTTTATCCACCAATACATAATCTAACAAACTACTTTCATTACGTGCTACATCATACCTTGTATATTTATTTATCCTCTTTTTCATAAAATATGTATTACTCATTACCAAATCTCTTTCTACACATAGTTTAATTAAAGGCTCCCCATTTACATCTACCCCTGGCACCCCAAATTTACCTACTACTCCCTCCACAACATTTTTACCCACTTTAGCATTGAAATCCCCAACCACAAGTACTCTCACACTTGGTTCAAAACTCCCCACGCATTCACTCAACATTTCCCAAAATCTCTCACTCTCTCTCCTCTACACTTCTCTCTTCTCCAGGTGCATATACACTTACTATAACCCACTTTTCACATCCAGCCTTTATTTTACTCCACATAATCCTTGAATTAATACATTTATAGTCCCTCTTTTCCTGCCATATCTTATCCTTCAACATTATTGCTACTACTTCTTTAGCTCTATTTGAAACCCCTGACCTAATCCCATTTATTCCTCTCCACTGAAACTCTCCCACCCCCTTCAGCTTTGTTTCACTTAAAGCCAGGACATCCAGCTTCTTCTCATTCATAACATCCACAATCATCTCTTTCTTATCATTTGCACAACATCCATGCACATTCAGACTTCCCACTTTGACAATTTTCTTCTTCTTATTCTTTTTATTAATCTTTACAGGAAAAGGGGTTACTAGCCCATTGTTCCCGGCATTTTAGTTGACTTTTACAACACGCATGGTTTATGGAGGAAAGATTCTTATTCCACTTCCCCATGGATAACACTAACACACACACATTATATATATATATATATACATCAAAAAGTGCCCAAGTTAACAGCTGTTCCCTACCAAGGTTGCTTGACTAAAAAAAAATGGAAAGATTTACCATCACCCATACAACAGCTGTCTTGCCAAAGTGCATGGACATCACAACTCAAATAGCCCTCTGAACCATAACACCCCCTTCCACCCCTCCCACTTGCCCTGGAGAGTGCAGCAAGCACTACTCTCCATGTCTACAACAAGTCTGTTTAACTGGATTTCCTAAATACCTTCACATATGTTATATCAAAATAAAAAAGAAAACCTCACATTTGATTCCCTTCAGTCTAATATGCTCTCATGCTTGCTAGATGCTCAAGCACCTACCACTTAAAGCCTTTCAATCCTACCTGAAATGTATCTACATCTTCCATCCATCACATATTATACACCTCTCAACATATGTTACTCCATCCTTTCAAAATGGCACCCTTTCTTTTCTGAGTTACCTAACATACCAACACACCAATTAATTGCTTCACTCATTCACTGCAAAATATATACACCGCACACTGACTGCAAGCATGACATTGCCTCTCCTCTCATAGATTCAATAAAAACATTAAAAAAAAAAATGGCAATATTAGTGTATAGCTTTTATTGCAGGGGTTGAAGAGCTGTATAGCCCTAGGGCCAAACAAACTACTGCCAGTAATGGAACAACAGCCTGTCACATCTTTCCGACATTGCCAGCAGCCCCCAAAGAAAATATACAAGGGCCAAGAAAAGAGTGAGCAATAAATGATAAGCACATGTGCACACACAAATGTTACTCAGTGCTTCTAGTCTTAGGGTATCTGGGGATTTTTTTCTACTGTGGAAAATGAGTAGTTCTGGGTAAACTTGCATCCAGTATGTGATTAAGATATCCCTCATACAGCTAATGTAAAAAAATGGGGAAAAAGTAAACAGAAAATTAAAAAATTAAAGAAAACACCTTATGCGAGGTCTATTTTGGAAGTAAACTTAATACAAGTGAAAAATATTTGTTACAATTGTGGTAACACACAGTGTATGCAATGTGCAATTAAATCACTCCAATACAATTAATGTCACAAAGAAAGTAGGAAGAGATTGAGAACAAGACAGATTCTTAAGCCTTCAGCCAGTGCCAGAAACAAGTAATATGTGCTGGGAGACAGCAAATCCCAAGGATACCTAATGACGAATTAAGGTTTGCAGTTTGTGGTGTCCATGGGAGAGTTTCATACTGCACATGAAAATGTTAAGTTTCCCGGGGGTTAAAGAGTACTGACAATACTTAATATAGTTGATGAGTGATGAATATAATTATTATAGCAAGTCTGAACAAATGAAGAATGGATATAAATGAAAACTGCTGCATTAGTGAAACACTGTAAAGCAAGGTCTGCTTGTGTTTCAGTGTTGTGAGGGGAAGCTATTTTTCAAGAGTAAAAGTTTACAAACTGTAAAATATATGGATCTGCAAAGGTAAGTAATGAAAACTCTAGTGACAAAGGAGGAGAAGAAGAAAAATACACCCAGGTGAAGGAGTGCACCAATTTTTAATATAACAGATATCACTAGCATTAGTTTCTGTCTTTTAGAGAGCAGATATATGAGGTACATTCCTGAATATTGCTCATTACTTGGATGTTCAGAATATGGAATCCATCCCCCCCCCCCCACAAAACATCCATATAATAATCTAAGATGCATTCTCAAGCCATAATATTCTCTCTGCTTTATTTTAGCAAAGAAATAAATACAACAACAATGTACAGCACCTTATGAGATCCCTCCCTCTTCCCTTCCCTCCCTTGCTCTCCCCCTCCCTTCCTGTTTTCACATTCACCATCTCAATCACTCACCCTTTCTTCAATCACATTTGACAACACTGTACACATGCTTTCCACTCCTTTTCACTTCAATACTGTTTTGGTTAAAATAAATATATGGCGAGAGAAATGTGAAAAGTGTAGGTATGGGAAAACAATATCCCTCCCTATCATTGTATCTGACAACATTTTTTGCATGTGCTCTCCATCCTCACTGGATATATAGTATGGGAAGGTTGTGTTGAAGGATGTGAGGCTGGACTGCAGTGTGGGACGAAGGGTGTGGTGTGAGCCAAGCCATTCCACCCAACTCTCCAACTTGTACTGGAAGACACAGCCAAGTTGCCGCTGAACAGACTAACATACTACTAATATTAATTCTACAATTCTTAACCTATCTCTACCAATCAAATACAATTTTTTTTTTTTTTTTTATCACACTGGCCGATTCCCACCAAGGCAGGGTGGCCCGAAAAAGAAAAACTTTCACCATCATTCACTCCATCACTGTCTTGCCAGAAGGGTGCTTTACACTACAGTTTTTAAACTGCAACATTAACACCCCTCCTTCAGAGTGCAGGCACTGCACTTCTCATCTCCAGGACTCAAGTCCGGCCTGCTGGTTTCCCTGAATCCCTTCATAAATGTTACTTTGCTCACACTCCAACAGCACGTCAAGTATTAAAAACCATTTGTCTCCATTCACTCCTATCAAACACGCTCACGCATGCCTGCTGGAAGTCCAAGCCCTCGCACACAAAACCTCCTTTACCCCCTCCCTCCAACCTTTCCTAGGCCGACCCCTACCCCGCCTTCCTTCCACTACAGACTGATACACTCTTGAAGTCATTCTGTTTCGCTCCATTCTCTCTACATGTCCGAACCACCTCAACAACCCTTCCTCAGCCCTGTGGACAACAGTTTTGGTAATCCCGCACCTCCTCCTAACTTCCAAACTACGAATTCTCTGCATTATATTCACACCACACATTGCCCTCAGACATGACATCTCCACTGCCTCCAGCCTTCTCTTCGCTGCAACGTTCATCACCCATGCTTCACACCCATATACAAGTCTTCACAAAATGATACACAAAATGTGAGTACATCTGATGGAAAGAAAACAAAAAAACCACAACTAAAAATCTGTTTGAACATTTAATTCGCATTCATCTGAAATTGACTGGTTCCTAAGTGTCTTGCTCATAATGGCAGTTTTTCATAACTCTGGTATTTGTAATTCTGAGCCCTAGTGTGTGGGGCTGCATATACACTGTTTGCCACATCAGCTGTTTCAAACCAAGGTATAGTGACCCCCCAGAGAAAAAACACAAATTATCATTCATTCAATAGATGTCTTGCCAGGAGTGCACAGACATCAGTAGTGTATTGCAATCAATGGACCCAAAACATGGGGTATCACACCAAAATAAGCCGAGATCTATTATAAAATTTTAAAATACTAAAAACCACTGAATGACAATTTCAGTAATATTTATGTTGCTGTACAAATTTAGAGAATTCTGTGTTAAAATAATTTCTAATGCTATACCTTACAAGATATAACATGGCTCAATAACATCCCTCACAAACTCAAATCCGTAATTAAATACCTGTTACAAGTAAGCTGTCTAGGCTGAATTTCATTGTTCAACTGTATTTTAACTCCCAAAATCTATGTAATGCAAATCTACTGGTTAATGGTAATTCCATTACTGATTTTTTTCTAACACCACTCTTGATCACTAGCGCACTCAGCTCACACACTGAGGTCCAGGAGTTCGAATCTTCTGTACAGCTGGATAATATTAGGACGCGTTTCCATAAGACACCTACTATCCCTGTTCACCCATCAGTATAAAATGAGTACCTGGATGTTAGTCGACTGGTGTGGATTGCATCCTGTGACAAAACTAACTTAATTTGCCCGAAATGCTGTGGATAACAACAGCTTTCTATATAGTAGTAGGTCAGTGATGTCAGTCTAGGCCCGTATATCTTGTACATGCACTTGTAGAAATAAAGATACATTATATTGTAGACGAGATGCCAGAAATGCAAATACTATACAATTCAAACACTTCGAACTACAACATCCCTCTATACCATTACTCAACGAATATCACACTACAAACATACTACAGTATTGTATTACCTTACTAACATTAGTATTTTTTTTTTTCTAGAGGTTATTTGCTTTAGTTTTGCTTCTAAAAGCTATTCATCATATGCTGAACAAAATATACCCTTACCCAAGCAATTTGTGCAAATTCTTAGAAAATGTACTGTATCTATTATTAGTAGCAGTTTTTTAATGTAGTGACTGTTTCCACCAAAGAGGGAACCCATAGAAAATTACTCCACTAAACCACACTTTCCCATCTTGACTTACACCTTACTTAATGCAGCTTCCTCCCTTCATTCCACATAGCCAAACATTTAATTCTTTTATTCCTTGAATAATGAAATTTTTAACAAAATATTCTAATGTTCTCTTATTCTCAGCATAAAATTCACATTTCACACTGACACCAATTACAGCATTTCTATTGCCTCTGTCTTGTTTCAAAAACATTCAAAGATCATGCTTCATGCAAACAATCAGTGGCACTGTGATACATTATTATTAAGATTGACTCTGAAGCATTTTCACTTTCTATAACAGAATACTGTTGTATACCAACAATCCCATTGAAAATAATTTCTGACCAAGAAAATACAGAGAACATTCACTGCCTGCATATATTTACACTTACACACTACTGAAAGAACCTTCAAGCTCTCAGATTTCACTCCTTGACATACACAATAGAAAGGCAAGTTACAAAACTCCATGAATTAATAATACTTACAATAGAGCTCACATTCGACACACACATACATAACATTAAAGGTAAAAAATATATATATATCAAATACATGATACTGCAATATACATGGTTAAAAACCACACACCTCCATCTTCCTCCTCCTCCTCCTCTTCTACTTCTTCATCTTTGTCTTAATCATGTTTTCATCCTCCCCCCTTTCTTGAAGAGTAGACGAAAAATTTTCCTGTTCTTCTTTCCCCACCATTTTTCCCTTCATCCGGGAAACTAAAACAAAAAAAAAAAAAAAACATCAGTTAAAACCCTTTTCCCCCCCTTGAATACTTTTAAAAGAATAAAAAACACCCTCTCCCACTGAACGGACGGATTTCGTTCCTAAGACCACGTTGGTAAATAATTCGTCACAAAGTGAGGAGCTTATTTAAAATGGTAGGGTTTGTTTTAACCATCTTTGTATTGTCTTAATGTCACCTTTGCATATTTATAACATTTGGTTTTTTTGTAAATGTTTTTACAGTAACTACTGTATACATTGTATTGTAAAAATCAAAAAAAAGGAAATCTCTCTAATATACATATTTGGTATGCATACTGGTTAGAGAGCCATCGCAAGCCCCGAGTCTTTGGAAAACGAGTACGTCGCAAGTGAGAGGGCTGAAATTATTTTGGGGAACTGCTCACATAGAAAAGTAATAAAGATGTTTTTTTCTTTTTTTTAAACATGCGGTCATTTCCCCTGAGGCGGGTGACCAAAAAAATAAAAACACTTTCACCATCATTCCCAAAATCCTGTCTTTACAGCACACACAAATGACAGCCAATATCCCAAACCCCCCCTTTTAAAAGTGAGGCAATTACTTCAAACTTCCAGGACTAAATTTTCCCAGCCAACTTTTCCCCCTAAATCCCTTTCACAAAAATATTACCCTGCACACCCCTACTCTTGTCACCCCCAAAAACCATTTGTTCTATTCATCTTTTTTTAAACCCTTTTTCAGGGTCAGAGGCCCAAAATTTCAAAGTGCACACCAGTGCCCCAAAAATTTTTTCAAAAAAATAATTTTTATATTTTTTCTTATGAAAGGTGGGAATCTTTTTCTAAAGGTAATAAAACAAAAAGTACGAAATTGAGGGAAAATTGACGAAATTATGCTCCCAAATTTTTGATGCGTAAGCAAATTACGCATCGGTGGTTTGCCGAATTTGACCCCCATTTTGGGGCCAATTACCTTATTCCCCGCCCAAATTCTTAGCTATTTCACTAGTATTGCTTCCATTCTATCGATTGAGCACAAGAAATTGCCACTCAACTGTTTAAACTATAAAAAAAGTGACTGGAAATGGTAATTTGGGCCCAAATTTTTAGGCAAAGTTCAAAAAAATACAATTTCAAAATAGGGTTCCAAATAAACAATGCGGGCTTTCCGGCACTAACAAACATTTCCTCTGTTTTAGTTATTTTTTTCTGCTTTAAAAAATGAATTCCATTTTGATTTTTAATTCACAATGAATTTTTATTCAAACCAAAAAATAAAAGATTTACTGTTAGCAATATTTAAATAATTGTATAAAAAAATCCCAGTAATTTGTGAACATATATTAAAAACCCACTATGGCTGTATTAGAAGTGTGGGGTCATTTGTTTATTTTGACATCGGCAATATTTAAATTTCCCTATTTTGAGCTCAGTTTAAAGCCATTTTTCAGTACTAAACCCAAATCAAATCATCTATTTTGTAATAATCTTCCATTCAATCAAATGAGACAAGAAATTGCAAATACAACTATGAAAAAATCAAAAAAACGTGCAAAGTTGCCTTTTTTAATTAAAAAATTTACGGTTCCTTTTTTTTTCCTATTATGCACTGTGTGCTGCAGGTTTTGTTTACTGGTTGCACATACCAATGATGTATTCTTCATACTGGGCCCAGCTTATCAGAGTGAGCTGAGCCATGCGTAGTCTAGGGTTTTGGCCCCTCAAATAAACCCGAATCTACGGTTTTAACATGCTCAACGTCCCTGCTGCAGTCAAAACCTTTGCACAGAAAACCTCTTTTACCCCCCCCCAGAGAAGCTGGTGAAAGAGGAGTCTGGTCAGCAGCACACCTGTATTCCACTAGGAAAGAAAAAAATGCAGTACATCTCCATGCTTCAGCTCCACCACTAAGAGGGCTTTTCCCCCAATGTGGGGAAACCCCTAAGAGCCACTGACTTCCCAGTTGTAACAGCAGTAATCCCCAGTTTTTTGACCCCATCAAGAACTTTTTTTAAAAAGGTTACCACCACAGACCGGGCCGCGGGGGCGGATTTAAAACTCCCCCCAGTATGCCCCCACAAATTCCGCAAAAAAGCCTAGCTGTTTTACTGTATAATTTATATTATGGATTATTGGCACCACGATGTTTAAAACCCAAATACTGCCTAAGAATTATTGTAAAGGCCAGTCAAGTACAAAAAAAAGGGCGCTAATAGTGCAAAACCTGGCCTCTGAGTGCGTAACCCATGCGGGAGTCATGCAAGGTGTCACATGTCCAGGGGAATCAGGGGTCAAGGAATAAGAAAACAGTGGCGTAACAGTGTCACGGTGGGGCTGTGCTTACCACCCCCCCTCTTCCAAGGGTGGTCTATATCTTTTCAATCCTGCCTCTCACCCCGCTAGGTAATCCTGAGAAAAAATTAATTATATTAAAAATAAAGTTTCAATACCACCAAGATTTTCCTATGCAACAAAAAAATTATGCATGTTCTGCAAATCTCAAGAATCTTTTTTATATACACCCCCCAGTTAATAACCCAATTACTAATCTTTCCCCAAAAAATTATCTTTTGCCCGTTGTCAGACATTTTAACCCCCAAACTTTTTCCCACTACTTCACATCATCACCCTTTTCTACTGCCTCCTGATGTACCCCAAAATCTGCCACGGAATGTTTTTCCTGCTAAAAAACCCCTATCCCTTTCCTATCCCAAAGAATGATTCTTCTCTTTTATAACAGCCATTCACTTTTAAAACCAAAACCTTCAAATATTTCTTTCCAACTGTCACCCCCCCATCTAATTTTTTTTTCACTTTTAAGGGGAATTCCATTTGGGTTTCCCAAATTCTGGGTTCCCTGAACTCAGGGAGATGAAATTAATTAGGATTGGAGAGATTGTTCCAAGGAAGCTCTCCTTTTCCTCTCCAAAATTTTCTTATTTTTTGTAAAAAATTGAAAATACCTACCTTCTCTCTTTGCTTTGCTTGCCCCAATTTTTTTTCACGTGCCCTGTAACACTTGTTTTTTACTAGAATTTACCAACTTTCCCCAGCTCTTTTCCCAATTAACTTCCTTAATAAATCTCTACCTCCCCTTATTACATTACACTCTTTAGCTTGCCCTTTTTTTTTCCAACAGGGCCTCATACCTTTTATAACCACCCCCTTCTTTAAGTCATTTACTTTATTTTATGCCTCACAATATTCTTGTAGCCCCCTTTATTTAAATTTTTTTACCCATAGTGGATTTGGCAAAATATTTAAAACACATATAGTTTGTCCGATGTCTTCCCTTCAGTTTTTCTACCAAGAAAAAAGTTCTCTTTGCAAATCTCAAATCTGTGTCTGTATATATTCATTGTATTTTTTCTTCTTTTTCTTCTTCAACCCACTGGCCATTCCCACCGAAGCAGGGTGCCCCAAAAAAAAAAACAAGGGTTTTTCTTAAATTTAGTTGTGTGTACAGAAGAAAGGGGTTTTCTAGCACCCCTTTCTCCCGGCATTTTTTTTGCCTCTTACGACACGATGGCTTTTTTTTTTTTTTTTTAACAAATGGGCCCTCTCCCCGAGGCAGGGTGACCCAAAAAAAAGAAAGAAAATCCCCAAAAAAAAAATCTTTCATCATCATTCAACCTTTACCTCACTACACAATCACGTTTTTGCAGAGGTGCTGAAAAAACAGCTTAAAGCATATACCCATAAAGATACACAAACATATCCCTCCAAATGCTAATACCCAAAACCCCTCCTTTAGGTGCGGCATTTTACTTCCCATTTTCCCGGGATATAAAAAAAACCGGTTTCCCGAATCCCTTCACTAAAAATTTTCCTTGCTCACACTCCAACAGTCGTCGGTCCCAAAAAAAACATTTGTTATTATCATATTAAATGCTCACGCACGCTTGCTGGAAGTCCAAGCCCCTCACCAACAAAACCCCCTTTACCCCCCCCCCTCCAACCTTTCAAGATGACCCCACCCCCCCCTTCTTCCCCCACGTTTTACGCTATCCATGTCATTTACTTTATCCATTCTCTCTAAATGACCAACCACCCCAACAACCCCTCTTCAGCCTTCGGATTAATATTTTATTAATCCAACCTTTACCCAATTTCTACATCCAAAAATTTTTTTGCATAAAATTTTTCACCACACACTCCCCCCTTTGACAGGGGCATCTCCCCTGCTGATCCCCAACCCCAAACTTCACACCCTATAATGGTTTGGGACACTATACTTTCATACATTCCTTTTTGCTTCCATAGATAACGTTTTTTTTCTCCACTATACCTCAAGCACCATTGTCTTTTTTCCCCCCATCAATTCTATGATTAACCTAATCCCCTTTTAAATCCATCCCCGACATTTAACCCCCAAAATCTGAAAAAAATTCACTTCTTCCCTTTTTTCTTTCTTTTTTTCAACCAGGCCGTATCCCGAGGCGGGGTAGCCCAAAAGGAAAAAAGAAATTTCTCTTTTAAATTTAGCAATATTAAGGAAAGAGGTTACTGCCCCTTGCTCCTGGCATTTTAGTCGGGCCTTTACAACACCATGGTTCGGGAAAAAGAATTCTGTTCCCTTTTCCCCATGGAGAAAAAAGGAAATAAAAAAAAAATAAGAACTAAAAAGAAAATAGAGAAAACCCCGAGGGGTGTGCATTTATGCTTGACAGTATGTTTTAGTGGCCCAAGGTAAGTAGAAATAGCAAGATGTACCTGAAATCTTGCTGTTAAGAGACGAAAAAAAGACACCACAATCCTACCATATGAAACAATTACAGGGTTTCGTTTTAACTCACTTGGAGGAGGTAGTACCTCCCCGGGGGTTTCTGTCTACCAACCTATACCTGGTTTTATGCATTTTTTAAAAAAAAAACCAACCACTCCCAAAACATCCCCCCGCTTTTTAAAATTTTTAAAAATTTCATGGCTTACAGAGGAAAAATTCTGTCCCACTCCCCATGGAGTAATGGGAAAAAGCAGGAACCGTAAAAAAAAGGAAGAAAACCCCAAAGGGGTGGTATATATATGCTTGTACATGCAGTGTAGTGAAATTTTTAATAGCAAAAACGTACCCGAAATCTTGAGTTTATAATATAGACAAAAAAAAGACACCAGCAATCCTACCATGTAAAACAAATTTCAGGCTTTGTTTTATACTCACTTGGCAGGATGGTATGCCCCCCCGGATGGTTTCCCGTTACCAACCCATACCTAAGATATAAAACATTATCCCCATTTCCCCTTCAAATTTCTTGCCTATTTTAGGGGGGGAGCCAAATTGATTAATCCCCCCCCCCAAAAGGCCCTATTTCACTAGGCAGGGTGACCTGTAATTTAACAGGTCACCCGTAAGAGGCGACTAAAAAGCTCCCCCAAAATTAGTCTCCTCTTTTGACACGCGGCTTTTGGAGGAAAATTTTTTTTTACTTCCCCGGGGGGTGATGGTTTATTTTAAAACGTCGGATGTTTTTTTACCCAGGCAGGGTGGGCCCAAAAAGAAAGAAAAAAACCCCAAAAAAAAAAAAAAACTTTCATCACTCTACAAAATCACTTTCTTTGTAGGGTGCCCGAAATGACAGCTTTTGACGGTTTTTTGGTATTGTTATTAGCCCAAAAACAGTTCGGTATAGGGGAAAAAATGCCACATCCCCCTCCCTAAGTTATTACCCCCCCTTTTTCTAAACAAAATAATTTAAAAATTTCCACTTTTCTAGTTTTACCATTCCCTTTATAACATACTTTCCCCCTTCAGCACAAAGGGGGCCCCAAAAAATTCTCCTTTCTTCAAAAGTTCCCGTCCCGCTTCTATCAACAAAGGGGGTCCTCTTTGTCATAGCTTATACCATGGTCAATGGGGTGTCACATTCAGGCCTCCCCCTGTAAATTCTGGTTTGGAAAAAATCAGTTTGGTCTGGCACAGGATGATGGGGAAAGGGAATCCCCACATGGGATGATCTGTGGCCCCCTTGCTGAATCTGTGTCTCATTTTCCCCAGATACAGTACGAGGGGTCCAGTTTAAAAACTTCTACCCTAGCCTCCAGAGCTGTCATTTTGTCAGGATAAAGAGGGCATTTTCCCCTGGTTTTGAGAGTGAGAAAAAGGGCATGAATTGCGAGGTGCATTCGAAATGATTGACAGGACAAGTCATTCTCCAGTTATGGCATGGATTCTAACAATTCCATTCTCTTTTTACTGTTTTAATACAAGAAATTTGTCTGCATGCTAACAAAACTTAATGTGTACTATCTAGGTCCTAAGATGTATCAGCCATTAAATACTAAAGCTGTTCAGAAGAGGCAAACTGAAGTTTATTTAAAGTGAAATAAAAATTTCACACTATTTTACACATACAATGGTCAAATCTGCATCTATACATTTGAATTTCATTCAAATTAAGAGGCATATTCTTTGAATGTTTGAAGCTTTGCCACTGGTGAGTTTTAAATTTATCCAAGTCATTTCAGGATGCTGGAAATGGCTTCAACATTTTGGGTCATAGGGCATGTGAATATGCCAATTGTTCAAAGAATTTAGTCCTCAATATTGTGCAGAAGCATTTAAAATTTGAAACTGATGAGACGAGGCCTTCTGGAGTTACAAGTGAAGTAAATCGAAAGGGGAGGGGGAGGGGGAGTTAGGAAACCTTTTCAAGGTCCCCCTTCGGAGATACCTAATGAAGTGACATTCCATTTTTCAGACAAATTCAGTAAAGACCCCTCAAAGAATGTTTAGACTTCAGTACCTCTCACAAGGTGCCTCACACTAACCTCATTTGGATGGGCATCTGATGTTGGCTCAAGACTCTCTCCTGCCCCAGATATATCATGTTCTGTATTTTCTGTATCCTCTATATTATCATCTCCTTGAGCACGAGTAGCTTCACTGTTAGTGGTTCCTGTCCCTGTAAAAAATATAAATAAAAAGCAAAGTAATTATTCAACTTAAATTTCAGCATTACAGCATGTGCTTTATTCTTGCCAACCAGTTTAAATTCAATTCTTCCCTTGACAGGGAACTAGTGCAGGTCATTCAAGTACATCTAGATTCAATATGCATCCCTTATCATCCTAACTCTCAAACAGATTTCCTTGTCTACTTTGATAACCCAGAGAATCTTATACCATGACCATGTTCCCTCAGTCTTCTCCCTAGCAAAGTAAGCTTTAATGGCTCAGCCTGTATTAAATCAAACAGAGGAAAAAAAAGTTCACATCACTGATTGAAAAACTGTCTTTATGGTAAACCATGGACATCATAATTCCACTGATTTACTAGATTGTTTTTCCCTACCCAAGCTTCAGTGTCCAGGCACTGTACTTACCACTACTAGAACTGAATTCAAGCTTCTTGTTTATCAAGTACTGTATTTTCCTAACATTTCAGTAAAAGATCATGTGCCCTCCTAGGTTTCCTGGTTATGGGGAACTGTTCATGGCCTACCATAATTAAGTACAATGAATTTTACTTGCCAGCTGGTTGTTGTGAATCCTCATTTTGTGTATTTTTTTTCTTCGATGATGACGTGGGTACAAATGATGGTAAATTGACAATGCGTGATACCAGCTCAAGAGGCTTGAGGGCAGCATTGATAGTGGCAGCCATGTTAGGTGATGACAAGTCCAGACTGTGAGGAATACGTGCAAGGTCTGTCACTAACCCCTTGCGTACCATCACTCTGATCATGTTGTTCATCCTGTAAAGTTAAGAACAAAAAAATCGAAATATATATACAAAAACCAGTCTCTGTATATAACTTTTAATATATATTTTTTCACCCCAACACGTCGGTCATTTCCCACCAAGGCAGGGTGACCCAAAAAGAAAAAATCCCCAAAAAGAAAATACTTTCATCATTCAACACTTTCAAATCACTCGTACATAATCACAGTCTCTGCAGAGGCGCTCAGACATGACAGTTTAAAAGTCAACCTCCAAATTGCCAATATCCCAAACCACTCCATTAAGGTGCAGGCATTGTACTTACCATTTCCAGTATTCAAATCCAGCTAACCGGTTTTCCATGAATCCCTTCACAAAATATTACCTTGCTCACACTCCAACAGTTCATCAGACCCCAAAAACCATTCATTTCCATTTACTCCTATCTAACACGCTCAAACATGCTTGCTGCGAGTCTAAGCCCCCCACCCACAAAACCTCCTTTCCCCCCACCCTCCAACTTTTTCGAGGACAACCCCTACCCCGCCTTCCTCCCCTACAGATTTATACACTCTCCAAGTCATTCTACTTTGATCCATCCTCTCTAAATGAAGATTGAGAGACTTATGCAACATATGGGAATCTTTATTTAGGAAATGTTCCACCACACAGTGGCTTCATCAGTCCAATACAAAGCAGAAAGGTGTAAGGAGAGGAGGAGTGTGAGGTAATCAGTCCCTCATCCTGGAGTTAATGTGTTCAGTCCATCAATCTTGTAGAATGTACAGCATAGGGCCATAGACATGGCTTATATACTATAGTCAGGTGAGGCGAAGCAGGAGGTGGCGGGGTCATAGTGGTAGCATCCACTAGTCGAAGTAGGTCTTCGTCCAAAGGTTGGAGAAGTTTGAAGAATTCTTTGTGTCAAGATCCCATGATGATGCAGTGTATGACAGTTGTGATGAATGGTTTAGAAAACCAGTTTTCAAAACCATTCATCACAACTCCCTAAATGACCAAACCACCTCAACAATCCCTCTTCAGTCCTCTAATACTTTTAGTAACTCCACACCTTTTCCAAATTTCCTAATTTCTCTGCATAATATTTACACCACACATTGCCCTTAGACAGGACATCTCCACTGCCTCCAACCACCTCCTGGCTGCAGCATTTGAAACCCAAGCTTCACACCCATATAAGAATGTTGGTACCACTATACTTCCATACATTCCCTTCTTTGCCTCCATGGATAATGCTTGTCTCCATAGATACCTTAACGCACCACTCATCTTTTTTCTTTCATCAATTTTATGGCTAACCTCATTCTTCATAAACCCATCTGCTGACAAGTCAACTCTCAAATATCTGAACACATTCATTTCTTCCATACTCCCTCCCTCCAATGTGAAACCCAATTTTTCTTTATCTAAATCGTTTGATACCCTCATCACCTTACTCTCATCAATGTTCACTTTCGACTTTCTACCTTTACACACCCTCCCAAACTTGTCAGCTAACCTTTGCAACTTTTCTTTAGAATCTCCCATTAGCACAGTATCATCAGAAAAAAGTAACTGTCAACTCTCATTTTGTATTTGATTCCCCATAATTTAATCACACCCCTCTCCCCAACACCCTAGCATTTACTTCTTTTACAACCCCATCTATAAATATATTAAACAACCATGGTGACATTACACATCCGTCTAAGACCTACTTTTACTGGGAAGTAATCTCCCTCTCTCCTACAAACCCTAACCAGAGCCTCACTATCCTCATAGAAACTTTACAGCATTTAGTAACTTACTACCTATTCCATACACTTGCAACATCTGCCACATTGCTCCCCTATCCACTATCATATGCCTTTTCTAAATCTATAAATGCAATGAAAACTTCCCTACCTTTATCTAAATACTGTTCACAGATATGCTTCAATGTAAACACTTAATCTACACATCCTCTACCCACTCCAAAGCCTCCTTACTCATCTGCAATCCTACTCTCTGTCTTACCTCTAATTCTTTCAATGATAACCCTACCGTACACTTTACTGGTATACTCAGTAAACCTTTTTTTTTTTCAACAAGTCGGCCGTATCCCACCGAGGCAGGGTGACCCAAAAAAGAAAGAAAATCCCAAAAAGGAAAATACTTTCATCATCATTCAACACTTTCACCTCACTCACACAATCCCTGTTCTTACAGAGGTGCTCAGAATGCAACAGTTTAGAAGCATATACAGTTGACCCTCAACTAACGGCGGCATTAAGTAACAGCAATTTCGTCTAATGGCGCTTTTTGACTTAACCAACGGCGAAAAACTTAACCAACGACGTTCGTGCAGAACATGTCCTGAGCGGGCCCAGCCACTCCAAGACTCGGTGTGCCATTGTTTACAAGCTGTTGCGGTCGGTTTCCATGTGTGCCTCCCATACATTTTGGATTGTTCCAGTTTCTAGTGCTTGTAACTGCTAAATAAGTCACCATGAGCCCCAAGAAAGCTTCTAGAGCCAGCCCTTTGGTAAAGGATGTGAGAAACATAATAGAATTTAAGAAAAAGTTTGTAGAAAAATATGAAAGTGGTGGTGGTAGAGGGTGGTACTGGTTGTGATGGTGGTAGAGGGTGGTACTGGTTGTGATGGTGGTAGAGGGTGGTACTGGTTGTGATGGTAGTAGAGGGTGGTACTGGTTGTGATGGTGGAGAGGGTGGTACTGGTTGTGATGGTGGTAGAGGGTGGTATGTTTTGTGGTAGAGGGTGGTAGGGGATGGTGGTAGAGGGGGGTAGTGATGGTGGGAGAGGGGTGGTAGGGGATGGTTTGGTTATGGAGAGGTGGTATGTGGGTGGTGGTAGAGGGTGGTAGTTGATGGTGGTAGTTGGATGGTAGTGAGGGTGGTAGGTGGGGTGGTAAGTGGATGGGTGGGGTAGAGGGTGGTAGTGGATGGTGGGAGAGGGTGTGGTAGTGATGGTGGTAGAGGGTTTGGGTTTGTGATGGTGGTAGAGGGGTGGTAGTGATGGTGGTAGAGGGTGGTAGTGATGGTAGTAAGGGGGTTTGGGTTTTGATGGTGGTAGAGGGTGGTAGGTGTGTATGGTGGTAGAGGGTGGTAGTTGGATGGTGGTAGAGGGTGGTAGTGTGATGGTAGAGGGTGGTAGGTGATGGTGGTAGAGGGTGGTATGGGTTGATGGTGGAAGAGGGTGGCGTGTGATGGTGGTAAGAGGGTGGCAGGGGGATGGTGGTAGAGGGTGGCATGTGGATGGTGTAGAGGGTGGCAGGGTTTTGATGGTATAGAGGGTGACTGGTTGTGATGGTGTAGAGGGTGGCGCTTGTGATGGTGGTAGAGGGTGGCTGTGATGGTGGTAGAGGGTGGCTTGGGGGATGGGGGTAGAGGGTGGCGTGATGGTAGGGAGAGGGTGGTACTGGTTGTGATGGTAGTAGAGTGGTGGTAGTGATGTGGTAAAGGGTGGCACTGGTTGTGATGGTAGGGAGAGGGTGGTAGTTGTGATGGTAGGGAGAGGGTGGTACTGGTTGTGATGGTAGTAGAGGGTGGTACTGCTTGTGATGGTGGTAGAGGGTGGTACTGGTTGTGATGGTGGTAGAGGGTGGTACTGGTTGTGATGGTGGTAGAGGGTGGTACTGGTTGTGATGGTAGTAGAGGGTGGTACTGGTTGTGATGGTGGTAGAGGGTGGTACTGGTTGTGATGGTGGTAGAGGGTGGTACTGGTTGTGATGGTAGTATAGAGGGTGGTACTGGTTGTGATGGTGGTAGAGGGTGGTACTGGTTGTGATGGTGGTAGAGGGTGGTACTGGTTGTGATGGTAGTAGAGGGTGGTACTGGTTGTGATGGTGGTAGGTGGTGATACGGTTGTGATGGTGGTAGGTGGTGAGACGGGTAGTGATGGTGTAAGTGGTGATACTGGTTGTGATGGTGGTAGGTGGTGATACTGGTTGTGATGGTGGTAGAAGGTGGTACTGGTTGTGAGGGTGGTATGGTTGTGGGTGGTAGGTGGTGATACAGTTGTGATGGTGGTAGAAGGTGGTAAAGGGTGGTACTGGTTGTGAGGGTGGTAGAGGGTGGCAGTGATGGTGGTAGAGGGTGGCACTGGTTGTGATGGTAGTAGTGATGGTGGTAGTGATAGTGGTAAAGGGTGGCACTGGTTGTGATGGTGTAGAGGGTGGTAGTGATGGTGGTAGGGTGGTGGTATGGTTGTGATGGTGGTAGAGGGTGGTACTGGTTGTGATGGTGGTAGGTGGTGATACCAGTTGTGATGGTGGTAGGTGGTGGATACTGGTTGTGATGGTGGTAGGTGGTGATATGGTTGTGATGGTGGTAGGTGGTGATACGGTTGTGATGGTGGTAGGTGGTGATACGGTTGTGATGATGGTAGAAGGTGGTAAAGGGTGGTACTGGTTGTGAGGGTGGTAGAGGGTGGTACTGGTTGTGATGGTGGTAGGTGGTGATACCGGTTGTGATGGTGGTAGAAGGTGGTAAAGGGTGGTACTGGTTGTGAGGGTGGTAGAGGGTGGTGGTGGTGGTAGTGGTGGTGGTAGTGATGGTGGTAAGTGATGGTGGTAAAGGGTGGCACTGGTTGTGGTGGTGGTAGAGGGGTGGTAGTGATGATGGTAGAGGGTGGTAGTGATGGTGGTAGAGGGTGGTATTGGTTGTGATGGTGGTAGGTGGTGGTACCGGTTGTGATGGTGGTACCGGTTGTGATGTTGGTAAAGGGTGGTACTGGTTGTGAGGGTGGTAGAGGGTGGTACTGGTTGTCATGGTGGTAGAGGATGGTAGTGATAGTGGTAGAGGGTGGTCCAGTGATTCTCAAGCTAGTTCTAGTGGCATTAAAAAACCAAGAAGCGAGGTAACCCCACCAAAGGACTTGGTACCTGAAGTCTTTATGGAAGGGGATTTCCCTGCTGCTGGCACATCACTCATCAACAACTCCACAATAAAGGTAAGTGGCATTTAATTATTGTTTATTTTGCATGTCCCATTCGTTTCCATATAAGGAAATGTATATTTCATGTAATTTTTTTTTTTCAGACTTTCGGGTGTCAGGAACGGAGTAATTCTATTACCATTATTTCTTATGGGGAAAATTAACTACCAACGGCAAGCCCTCTGGAATAGATTAATGCAGTTGGTTGAGGGTCCACTGTACGTATAAAGATGCACAACATATCCCTCGAAACTGCCAATATCCCAAACCCCTCCTTTGAAGTGCAGGCATTGTACTTCCCATTTCCGGACTCAAGTCCGGCCATATAAAAACCGGTTTCCCTGAATCCCTGCACTAAACATTACCCTGCTCGCACTCCAACAGTTCGTCAGGTCCCAAATACCATTCGTCTCAATTCATACCTATCTAACACACTCGCGCATGCTTACTGAAAGTCCAAGCCCCTTGCCCACAAAAACTTCCTTTACCCCCTCCCTCCAACCTTTTCAAGGACAATCCCTACCCTGCCTTCTTTCCCCTACAGATTTATATGCTCTCCATGTCATTCTACTTTGATCCATTCTCTCTAAATGACCAAACCACCTCAACAACCCCTCTTCAGCCCTCTGACTAATATTTTTATTAACTCCACACTTTCTCCTAATTTCCACACTCCGAATTTTCTGCATAATATTTACACAACACATTGCCCTTAGACAGGACATCTCCACTGCTTCCAACCGCCTCCTCACTGCAGCATTTACAACCCAAGCTTCACACCCATATAAGTGTTGGTACCACTATACTTTCATACATTCCCTTCTTTGCCTCCATAGATAATGTTTTTTGTCTCCACATATACCTCAATGAACCACTCACCTTTTTTCCCTCATCAATTCTATGATTAACCTCATCCTTCATAAATCTATCCACCGACACATCAACTCCCAAATATCTGAAAACATTCACTTCTTCCATATTCCTCCTCCCCAATTTGACACCCAATTTTTCTTTATCTAAATTATTTGATGCCCTCATCACCTTACTCTTTTCTATGTTCACTTTCAACTTTCTACCTTTACACACACTCCCAAACTCGTCCACTAACCTTAGCAATTTTTCTTTAGAATCTCCCATAAGCACAGTATCAGCAAAAAGTAACTGTGCCAATTCCCATTTTGTATTTGATTCCCCATAATTTAATCCCCTATAATTTTTACAATCTCTTTTGTCCCCCTTCCCTTTATATAAAGGAACTATACACACGCTGCCAATCCCTAGGTATTTTCCCCTCTTTCATACTTCAAAAACATAAAATACATTTATTAAACAAAAATACCAGCCTCTCCAATACTATATCCCCATCCCTGCTTTGATATACCTTCGAAGAGTTTTGAGAGAATATCTACTCTCTGAGCCCGGCCATGGGCCAGGCTCATCTGGTGCTTGCCTGGTCAACCAGGCTGTTGCTGCTCAAGGTCTGCTGCCCCACATATCCATCACAGCCTGGTTGATCTGGCACCTGGTGAAGATGCTTATCCAGTTTCTTCTTGAAGGCTTCTTCACTTGTTCCAGCAGTGTTTCTGATGTCTTCTGGTAAGATGTTGAAAAGTCTGGGACCCCGGATGTTGATACAGTGTTCCCTTATTGTCCCCACTGCACCCCTGCTCCTCACTGGGTTTATTTTACACTTCCTCCTATATCTCTCACTCCAGTATGTTATGGTGGTGTGGTTTTAACATTTCTGTCTCGATCTCATCAGTTCCAGCTGTTTACCCACTTTCATTCAATGCAATGCCTCATACACCTCCCCCACACTCACATCCTGCTCTCCTTCACTCTTGCCCCTCTGGCAAGACAGTGATAGACTGAATGATGGTGAAAGCATTTCTCTTTTGGGTCACCCTACCTAGGTGGGAGACTGCTGTTAAAAAAAACAAAAAAAAAAAAAAAAAAAGGTAGCATACCCATGTTGCTGTTGTTTGAAGCACATGTTGGGAGGCTGATTTAACTGTGCAGGGCATGCCTCCATCATGGTGCAGATCAAACCCACAAGTGCCTGGATGCGTCCGTGTTTATCCATATTCTCGGGGTATACTGTTGCACGTCCCAAAGCCGCTTTTACCTGGAAAATTTAAGTCTTTTAACTTCTTAACAAGTGAAACATTTAATGTCATTTACATTCACATTTCATAGGATAAAAGTGAGTGAAGTTAGGTTGGCTCACCCACTGGCCTGCAAGATAATTTCTATAGCTCCAAAGCAGAAATTTTTTTAACTGCAGTACTTTTTTTTTTTTATCAATAAACTAGCCGTATCCCATCGAGGGCGACCCAAAAAGAAAAAAAAGTTTCTAAATTTGGTAATTTAAACAAAGTATTACTAGCCCCCTTGCTCCTGGTATTTTAGTTGCCTCTTATGACATGCATGTCTAACAGAGAAAGAATTGTGAACATCAACCACTAACAGGTTACCTTGATCTATTAATAAGCCAGGTAAAGGCCATCACCATAACACGACTCCATTCTCACTTTATTAAAGAAATGTGTACAAAATTCTATATAACCCATTAAAACACCTTTATTACTATATGCTATATGAAATTATGTGGATTAGAACATGTAAAGTACTTAAAATCTTACCTCTGCTACAAGGATTGTTTGAGCATCTGGGGCATGATTGCACGAGGCCAGGGCAGCTATGAGCACTCGTACATGGCCAGCCGTATCTTTATCTGAAGTTGAACTACTACAAACTAGGTGGTCCAACATGTAAGCTAGAGCTGAGCAGTCCTAGGAAAACACTTTGAAGTTAGAAAACTGCTTGGTTATCAAAAAATACAAAGTATATACTGCATAATATAAACACCAATGTTAAACAAGAAATGATCAGTTTTCATTTAATCCAGAGCAATGCTATTTCCAGTTTATTACAAGGAACAGATAACAATACAACTCAAAATGTTAATTTAACAATGCTTAATGTACATACATCATATACATCAAGTGGTGCTTTTATTGCCATGTTTTTTTTTTTTTTTTTTTTTCAACAAGTCGGCCGTCTCCCACCGAGGCAGGGTGACCCAAAAAAAAAAAAAAAAAAGAAAGAAAATCCCCAAAAAGAAAATACTTTCATCATCATTCAACACTTTCACCACACTCACACACTATCACTGCTTTTGCAGAGGTGCTCAGAACACAACAGTTTAGAAGCATATACGTACAGAGATACACAACATATCATTCCAAACTGCCAATATCCCAAACCCCTCCTTTAAAGTGCAGGCATTGTACTTCCCATTTCCAGGACTCAAGTCCGACTATATGAAAATAACCGGTTTCCCTGAATCCCTTCACTAAATATTACCCTGCTCACACTCCAACAGATCGTCAGGTCCCAAGTATCATTCGTCTCCATTCACTCCTATCTAACACGCTCATGCACGCTTGCTGGAAGTCCAAGCCCCTCACCCCCAAAACCTCCTTTACCCCCCCTTTCCAAAACCCCTTTTGAGGACGACCCCCACCCCTCTTTCCTTCCCCTATAGATTTATATGCTTTCCATGTCATTTACTTTGATCCATTCTCTCTAAATGACCAAACCACCTCACAACCCCTCTTCTGCCTCTGACTAATGCTTTTATTAACTCCACACCTTCTCCTAATTTCCACACTCCGAATTTTCTGCATAATATTTACACCACACATTGCCCTTAGACAGGACATCTCCACGCCTCCAACCGTTCCTCGCTGCTGCATTTACCACCCAGCTTCACATCCATATAAGAGTGTTGGTTTTCTACTATACTTTCATACATTCCCTTCTTTGCCTCCATAGATAACGTTTTTTGACTCCACATATACCTCACGCACCACTCACCTTTTTTCCCTCATCAATTCTATGATTAACCTCATCCTTCATAAATTTCCCTCCGCCGACACGTCAACTCCCAAGTATCTGAAAACTTCACTTCTTCCATACTCCTCCTCCCCAATTTGATATCCAATTTTTTTTATCTAAATCATTTGATACCCTCATCACCTTACTCTTTTCTATGTTCACTTTCAACTTTCTACCTTTACACACAATTTTCAAACTCTCCACTAACCTTTGTAATTTTTCTTTAGAATCTCCCATAAGCACAGTATCATCAGCAAAAACTAACTGTGTCAATTCCCATTTTGAATTTGATTCCCCAAATTTAAACCCACCCCTCTACCGAACACCCTAGCATTTACTTCTTTTACAACCCCTCTATAAATATATTAAACAACCATGGTGACATTACACATCCCTGTCTAAGACCTACTTTTACTGGGAAGTATTCTCCCTCTCTTCTACACACCCTAACCTGAGCCTCACTTCCTTTATAAAAGCTCTTTACAGCATTTAGTAACTTACCACCTTTTCCATTATACTTGCAACATCTGCCCCCATTGCTCCTCTATAACTCTATCATATGCCTTTTTCTAAATCCATAAATGCAATAAAAACTTAACTACCTTTATCTAAATTTCTGTTCACATATATGCTTCAATGTAAACACTTGATCTACACATCCCATACCCACTCGAAGGGCCCCCTTGCTCGTCCGCAATTCTACATTCTGTCTTACCTCTAATCTTTCAATTATAACCCTACCCTATTTCTTTTCCTGGTATACTTTAGTAAACTTATCCTCTATAATTTTTACAATCTCTTTTGTCCCCTTTCCCTTTATATAGGGGATAAAACATGCTCTCCGCCAAACCCTAGGTACCTTCCCCTCTTTCATAAATTTATTAAACAAAAGTACCAACCACTCCAACACTATATCCCCTGCTTTTAACATTTTTGTCATGATCCATCAGTTCCAGCTGCTTTACCCCCTTTCATTCTACGTAATGCCTCACGTACCTCCACCACAAATTACATTCCGCTTTCTTCACTCCTAAAAGATGGTATACCTCCCCGGCCAATGCATGAAATTACCGCCTCCCTTTCTTCCTTAACATTTAAAAGTTCCTCAAAATATTCTCGCCATTCTACCTAATACCTCCCTCTCCCCATCTACTAACTCCCCTACTCTGTTTTTAACTGACAAATCCATACTTTCCTAGGCTTTCTTAACTTGTTTAACTCACTCCAAAATTTTTTCTATTTTCATTAAAATTTCTTGACAGTTTCCTCTCCCACTCTTTCATCTGCTCTCCTTTTGCACTCTCTCACCACTCTCTTCACCTTTCTTTTACTCTCCATATACTCTGCTCTTCTTATAAACATTCTGCTTTGTAAAACCTCTCATAAGCTACCTTTTTCTCTTTTATCACACCCTTTACTTCATCATTCCACCAATCACTCCTCTTTCCTCCCGCCCCACCCTCCTATAACCCCAAACTTCTGCCCCACATTCTAATACTGCATTTTTTAAAACTATTCCAACCCTCTTCAACCCCCCACTACTCATCTTTGCACTAGCCCACCTTTCTGCCAATAGTCGCTTATATCTCGCCCGAACTTCCTCCTCCCTTAGTTTATACACTTTCACCTCCCTCTTACTTGTTGTTTCCCTTCCTCTTTTCCCATCTACCTCTTACTCTAACTGTAGCTACAACTAAATAATGATCCGATATATCAGTTGCCCCTCTATAAACATGTACATCCTGGAGCCTACCCATCAACCTTTTATCCACCAATACATAATCTAACAAACTACTTTCATTACGTGCTACATCATACCTTGTATATTTATTTATCCTCTTTTTCATAAAATATGTATTACTTATTACCAAATTTCTTTCTACACATAGCTCAATTAAAGGCTCCCTATTTACATTTACCCCTGGCACCCCAAAATTACCTACTACTCCCTCCATAACATTTTTTACCCACTTTAGCATTGAAATCCCCAACCACCATTACTCTCACACTTGATTCAAAACTCCCACGCATTCACTCAACATTTCCCAGAATCTCTCTCTCTCCTCTACACTTCTCTCTTCTCCAGGTGCATACACGCTTACTATAACCCACTTTTCACATCCAATCTTTACTTTACTCCACATAATCCTTGAATTTATACATTTGTAGTCCCTCTTTTCTGCCATAGCTTATCCTTCAACATTATTGCTACTCCTTCTTTAGCTCTAACTCTATTTGAAACCCCTGACCTAATCCCATTTATTCCTCTCCATTGAAACTCTCCCACCCCCTTCAGCTTTGTTTCACTTAAAGCCAGGACATCCAGTTTCTTCTCATTCATAACATCCACAATCATCTCTTTCTTATCATTTGCACAACATCCACGCACATTCAGACTTCCCACTTTGACAATTTTCTTCTTCTTATTCTTTTTAGTAATCTTTACAGGAAAAGGGGTTACTAGCCCATTGTTCCCGGCATTTTAGTTGACTTTTACAACACGCATGGCTTACGGAGGAAAGATTCTTATTCCACTTCCCCATGGATATAAGAGGAAAAGTAATAAGACCAAGAACTATTAAGATAAAATCAAAGAAAACTCAGATGAGTGTGTATAAATAAACGTGTACATGTATGTGTAGTGTGACCTAATTGTAAGTAGAAGTAGCAAGACGTACCTGTAATCTTGCATATTTATGAGACAGACAAAAGACACCAGCAATCCTACCATCATGTAAAACAATTACAGGCTTTCGTTTTACACTCACTTGGCAGGACGGTAGTACCTCCCTGGGTGGTTGCTGTCTACCAACCTACTACCTTATACTGCCATGTACCATATTAAAATTTTTCCCTTGTGATATTATGCTACCCTACCTGGGGTAATCTGAACAGTATCAGTCAAGAATAACCTAATCCGTTAAAAAGGGATTAAACACACCAAACACTTCTCATTGTTTAGACCAGTGGTTTTTCAACCTTATGACACCTGTGAACCGGTAAAAAGAAATTTCGCAGACCACTAAGGAAGTGACTAATACGCATTTTTGACAAGACGGACCAAACACTAAATGAAGTGTGTATCTATACTCTTTCATTGCAGGCTGCACTGTCCCGATCATGACTGAGGCACCAGCAATAACTTTCGCTGACACACAGAAAAATTCTGCGGACCTCGAACCAGTGGTTGAAAACTACTGGTCTAGACACTGGGGCAGCATCTGTTGAATGGACTCTGAATTTGAAAGGCATTTATCCAAGAAATCTAAGTTCTCAAACCAAAGTGCAAAGAGATAAATATTTATCTATCTATATGAAAACAGGTAAACATCCTGTTGAAACCTACAGTTCAACCTACAATACAAAGGCACAAAACTCAGGAACAACTAACCTCTCACCTGATTGGGTTAGAATAATCACAAAAGTGATTAACCCGAATAGGTCAGAGGTTAGATGTTCCCATCATGCAATGCTCAGATCAAGATTTTTTTATTTATTGAACAAGCCCATTCTGATACATCTAGGCCAAAATTTGCCACTCAAGGCAACTTGATATAAGAGCAGAAAAACTTAAGGATCAAACAAGTGTTACTATCAACTGAAAAGAAAAATAATAGGCTGGATAACAAGAATCTTCAAAACAGGAGAGGCCAAGCCAATGATGACACTAGGACACTTGTACCGCCTATAAGACAGTAATGTTGTACACTAAAGCCCTCTCAATTATTACAAACATGCAATTACATAGAGCCTAATAAAATTTATTAAGAATGCCATTAGCAAAACTAAGAATTATGCTACAGTACTGTGAAGAGCATTACCAATGCAATACATAGCCCATAGAGTACCTCTGTTATTTTTTCATTAGCTCCTGCCGAGTAATGGTGTTCAGTAACTAGCTTGGCACAACCTGCATAGGACCTCACAAATTCTGCTAGAAGCTTGCAAATAAGGGACTTCGATAGAAGGGGTTTCTTCTTCTTAGCAGCATCATCTGCTTTGTCACTGGAGGCTACTTTGCTGTCAGCACCAGGCAACTTGCTTGCTTCACTCTCCATAGGACTCTACAATGAAAGTAAATACATGTTGATTTCTTTAATTACAGTGCAGTACTTCAAAACTGCAAATCAGAGCAGAACAAAAACAAGCATTTTTATTATTACAGTGCAGTATATATTCATGCATACTCATGAAAAGTAGAAAATGTGAAGGTCTTGCCAGGTTACACAGCATAGATTAGGGTAATGGTAGAGGGTAGGAGGCCGAAGTGCCCAGGGGTAGACGAGGGCAAAAGAAACGAGTACATAGCAAACCCAGCGCTTTAAGAAATCAAAGAATTCATGTTGAAAATGAGTGTTGGTACATATTTTATATGAAAATGTGATTTTTATAGCACACTAACCCTTTGAGGGTCCATGCCGTAGATCTACGGCTTTACGTTGAGGGTCCAAACCATAGATCTACGTCATGAGCTCAGCTCGCTCTGATAAGCTGTGAGCGGTAAATTTTGGCCTAGATATGAGAGAATACACTATGTGGTATGTGTGCACCACATAAAACAAATCCTGCAGCGCACAGTGCATAATGAGAGAAAAAACGAGACTAATTTTTTATTAAAACAGCGACTTGCAGTGTTTTTTCGTATGTTTTTTTTATAGTTGTATTTGCGATTTCTTGGTCCCATTTAATAGAATGGAAGATATATTACAGAAATAGAGATGATTTTGATTGGTTTTACAACTGGAAATGGCTTGAAATTGAGCTCAAAGTAGCAGAAATGTTAAATTTTTGCCGATGTTCAAGAGTAAACAAATGACCTCGCACGTATAATACATGCCTGCTGGTGAGTCTAATATACGTTCACAAATGTGGTGATATTATTTATACAATTATTACAATATTGCATAACAGTATATCTTCTACTTTTTGGTTTGAATAAAAATTCATTATGTGAATTAAAAATCAAAATGGCATTCATTAGTAAAGCCCAAAAACATAACTAATGAACAGAGGAAATGTTAGTTTAGTGCCAGGAATGCCTGCATTGTTTATTCTGGACCCTATTTTGAACTTACATTAAATTGGCCAAATTACCAATTTCCGATCACTATTTTGTAGTCGAAACACTGGCGAATTCTTGTGCTCACTCAATAGAATAGAAGCAATACTAGTGAAATAGCTAAGAATTTGGTTGACTGGAATAATGTAATTGGCCTAAAACGGGAGTCAAAGTCTGCAAAATCGCCGATGCGTAAATATCGACAGCACATCAAAATTCACAAGAGCATAATTTCGTCAATTTTCCATCAAATTTTGTACTTTTTGTTTCATTACCTTCAGAAAAAGATTCTCTACCATTTCATAAGAAAAAATTACAAAATTAATTTTTGAAAATTCTTGGATACTGGTACACACTTTGAAATTTGGCCTCTGGATCCTGAAAGGGTTAATCCCTACAAAATTGCAGGCTTCTTTATTTGTAGATATTGTTAATGAAAAATTTTTTTTTAAAGAAAGCAATTAAATTTTCTAAGAATTTTCATTAAACAAAACAATGTTCCATCATCAAGTGGTAATAAGGAAGTACAGTGGACCCCCGCATAACGATCAGCTCCCAACTCGACCAATTATGTAAGTGTATTTTTGTAAGTGCTTTTGTAGGTGTATTTTTGGGAGTCTGAAACTGACTAATCTAATTCACAATATCTCTTATGGGAACAAATTCGGTCTATAACGGCACCCAAACAGACTTCTGGATTGAAATAATATCGTTATCCGGGGGTCCACTGTATCTTGGCAAGAACAATTACGAAAATTCTTACTATATTTACACGAAAAACAAATTTGAAAGATCAAGACATCCAAGATCCATACATAAAAATATTAATATGTACAAGATGCCAGCTTTCTTAAACTTATTTGGTTGTGACAAACCTGGACTGGTGACTTCTACAATTTACTATATGTACAACACAAAGCTAACCTGTTCATCAGTTTCCTGAACAACCATATCATTAGCTGAAGATGAACGAGAGAGATGAAGCTGTCTCCGAGCGCTAGTGCTTGACGACGCCCTTTCTTCTGTTGGGGTAGTGTTAGTCACAAGGCTACCAGCCACGGCAGTGCTTGGAGTCCCAGCTGAGGCAGATGCAGGATCACTGTCATCTTTCAGAGTTGTGAGAGCTTCAAGAAGATCATGAATCAATTGCTGAGGCTCTAAGCTAAGGGTCATACCTGCAGAACTGCCACTAGTGCTACCTCCAGCATTACTCATAGTGCTCTTCCCGCCAACACTCTTCATCAAAATACTATCTTCATCTGCAGAAAATAAAAAGCATTAATTTTAGTTAAACTAAATATTAAAAACACACACATTTCTCCACAATTTTTTTAGCAATTTTAATACACCAGCAATTTTATGGAATTGGGAAAAAATTACCTTTCAAAAGAAAGGTTTCTGCATTTTAAGTTTCCACATTTTATGCAAGGTGTTAAAAGCTCTAAATGCTTTTTCATAAGAATGAGGCTCAGGTTATGACACGAAGTAAATGGAAACATTTTCCAATAAAATTTGGATTAGGCAGGGGATGTATGATTTCCCTGTTATTATATGACATCTCTATAAATGGTGTTGTAAAAAGTATTTGGGAGAAGGGCAGTTTTAAATGTTAAAGTATCTTTATCCAGGTATTAAGTAGATTACAGACGAGCACAACAGTTTGATATCTTTATTGACGAGATGCTTTGCCTGCTGAGCTGGCGTCAGTTGAAATACAGATGAGACCGAAGTCATGGAGATGAAGATATGACTACCTCAAGCTTGCTACTAATGTGGTCCCTTAAACTATTCTAGAAGTATCATACCTCAAAGTTATTTCAACTCAAATCACAAAATACACAGTTTTATGGCAATTCATTCCCAGATGCCAGAACACACCCAACCTTCCCTTAGGGTATATTTTATTGTTTAAACAATGCGGTTTTCAAGGTTGTAAACATGCTTCAGCTTGAAATCTTCAGATGCACTGGCACTTAGGCATAAATTTATCTTTCATAGGCTTATGTCCAGGTAGTGGCAGGATAGGGCCAGAGCAAGCAGGGCAGGGGAAAATTGGGGAGGGAGGCAGAGATTGGTAAAGAATTGTGGACTTTAGTATTTACACTGTTGTAGCCACAGTCTGACACTGCCTGTGCCAGTACATGCAGTGTCTTCCTCCCTCTGTCTTCCTCTCTTCACACCTCCTCCCTCCCTGCTTTCACACCTTCTCCCTCCCAATCAGCACATTTCCCATCAATCTAAGACGTTCATCACCCTGTCATCATTTGGGCCGAGGCCCACCCATGTGTGCTAACCATAGTATGCATTTTTTTTTTTTTCAACAAGTCAGCCGTCTCCCACCGAGACAGGGTGACCCAAGAAGAAAATACTTTCATCATCATTCAACACTTTCACCTCATTCATACATAATCACTGTCTTTACAGAGGCACTCAAATACAATAGTTTAGAAGTCCCTCCAAACTGTCAATATCCCAGACCCCTCCTTTAAAGTGCAGGTATTGTACTTCCCATTTCCAGGACTCAAGTCCGGCTAAATCTACAATAACAGGTTTCCCCGAATCCCTTCAGTAAATATTACCCTGGCCACACTCCAACATCTCGTCAAGTTCCAAAAACCATTCGTCTCCATTTACTCCTATCTAACACTAACACACACACCAACACACACACGCACGCACGCGCACGCACACACATGCACACGCACGCACGCACACACGCACGCGCACACACACGCTGGAAGTCCAAGTCCCTCGCCCACAAAACCTCCTTTACTCACTCCCCCTCCAACCTTTTTGAGGACAACCCTTACCCCTCCTTCCTTCCCCTACAGACTTATTTTTTATATTTTTATTATCACACTGGCTGATTCCCACCAAGGCAGGGTGGCCCAAAAAAGAAAAACTTTCACCATCATTCACTCCATCACTGTCTTGCCAGAAGGGTGCTTTACACTACAGTTTTTAAACTGCAACATTAACACCCCTCCTTCTGAGTGCAGACACTGTACTTCCCATCTCCAGGACTAAAGTCCGGCCTGCCGGTTTCCCTGAACCCCTTCATAAATGTTACTTTGCTCACACTCCAACAGCACGTCAAGTATTAAAAACCATTCGTCTCCATTCACTCCTATCAAACACGCTCACGCATGCCTGCTGGAAGTCCAAACCCCTCACACACAAAACCTCCTTTACCTCCTCCCTCCAACCTTTAATAGGCCGACCCCTACCCCGCCTTCCTTCCACTACAGACTGATACACTCTTGAAGTCACTCTTGTTTCGCTCCATTCTCTCTACATGTCCGAACCACCTCAACAACCCTTCCTCAGCCCTCTGGACAACAGTTTTGGTAATCCCGCACCTCCTCCTAACTTCCAAACTAACGAATTCTCTGCATTATATTCACACCACACATTGCCCTCAGACATGACATCTCCACTGCCTCCAGCCTTCTCCTCGCTTCAACATTCATCACCCATGCTTCACACCCATATAAGAGCGTTGGTAAAACTATACTCTCATACATTCCCCTCTTTGCCTCCAAGGACAAAGTTCTTTGTCTCCACAGACTCCTAAGTGCACCACTCACCCTTTTCCCCTCATTAATTCTATGATTCACCTCATGTTTCATAGACCCATCCGCTGACACGTCCACTCCCAAATATCTGAATACATTCACCTCCTCCATACTCTCTCCCTCCAATCTGATATCCAATCTTTCATCACCTAATCTTTTTGTTATCCTCATAACCTTACTCTTTCCTGTATTCACTTTTAATTTTCTTCTTTTGCACACCCTACCAAATTCATCCACCAATCTCTGCAACTTCTCTTCAGAATCTCCCAAGAGCACAGTGTCATCAGCAAAGAGCAACTGTGACAACTCCCACTTTATGTGTGATTCTTTATCTTTTAACTCCACGCCTTTTGCCAAGACCCTCGCATTTACTTCTCTTACAACCTGGAGAGATTACCTGGAGAGAGTTCCGGGGGTCAACGCCCCCGTGGCCCGGTCTGTGACCAGGCCTCCTTAGGTCAGTGTCCCAGGATGCGACCCACACCAGTCGACTAACACCCAGGTACCCATTTTACTGATGGAGAACATAGACAACAGGTGGAAAGAAACACGTCCGATGTTTCTACTCTGGCTGGGAATCGAACCCAGGCCCTCACCGTGTGAAGCGAGAGCGTTAACCACCAGGCCACCAGAGCCCATCTATAAATATATTAAACAACCATGGTGACATCACACATCCTTGTCTAAGGCCTTCTTTTACTGGGAAATAATTTCCCTCTTTCCTACATACTCTAACTTGAGCCTCACTATCCTCGTAAAAACTCTTCACTGCTTTCAGTAACCTACCTCCTACACCATACACATGCAACATCTGCCACACTGCCCCCCTATCCACCCTGTCATACGCCTTTTCCAAATCCATAAATGCCACAAAGACCTTTCTAGCCTTATCTAAATACTGTTCACTTATATGTTTCACTGTAAACACCTGGTCCACACATCCCCTACCTTTCCTAAAGCCTCCTTGTTCATCTGCTATCCTATTCTCCGACTTACTCTTAATTCTTTCAATAATAACTCTACCGTACACTTTACCAGGTATACTCAACAGACTTATCCTTCCCTATAATTTTTGCACTCTCTTTGTCCCCTTTGCCTTTATACAAAGGAACTATGCATGCTCTCTGCCAATCCCTAGGTACCTTACCCTCTTCCATACATTTATTAAATAATTGCACCAACCACTCCAAAACTATATCCCCACCTGCTTTTACCATTTCTATCTTTATCCCATCAATCCCGGCTGCCTTACCCCCTTTCATTTTACCTACTGCCTCACGAACTTCCCCCACGCTCACAACTGGCTCTTCCTCACACCTACAAGATGTTATTCCTCCTTGCCCTATACACGAAATCACAGCTTCCCTATCTTCATCAACGTTTAACAATTCCTCGAAATATTCCCTCCATCTTCCCAATACCTCTAACTCTCCATTTAATAACTCTCCTCTCCTATTTTTAACTGACAAATCCATTTTTTCTCTAGGCTTCCTTAACTTGTTAATCTCACTCCAAAACTTTTTCTTATTTTCAACAAAATTTGTTGATAACATCTCACCCACTCTCTCATTTGCTCTCTTTCACATTGCTTCACCACTCTCTTAACCTCTCTCTTTTTCTCCATATACTCTTCCCTCCTTGCATCACTTCTACTTTGTAAAAACTTCTCATATGCTAACTTTTTCTCCCTTACTACTCTCTTTACATCATCATTCCACCAATCGCTTCTCTTCCCTCCCGCACCCACCTTCCTATAACCACAAACTTCTGCTGAACACTCCAACACTACATTTTTAAACCTACCCCATACCTCTTCGATCCCATTGCCTATGCTCTCATTAGCCCATCTATCCTCCAATAGCTGTTTATATCTTACCCTAACTGCCTCCTCTTTTAGTTTATAAACCATCACCTCTCTCTTCCCTGATGCTTCTATTCTCCTTGTATCCCATCTACCTTTTACTCTTCAGTGTAGCTACAACTAGAAAGTGATCTGATATATCTGTGGCCCCTCTATAAACATGTACATCCTGAAGTCTACTCAACAGTCTTTTATCTACCAATACATAATCCAACAAACTGTCATTTTGCCCTACATCATATCTTGTATACTTATTTATCCTCTTTTTCTTAAAGTATGTATTACCTATAACTAAACCCCTTTCTATACAAAGTTCAATCAAAGGGCTCCCATTATCATTTACACCTGGCACCCCAAACTTACCTACCACACCCACTCTAAAAGTTTCTCCTACTTTAGCATTCAGATCCCCTAACACAATTACTCTCTCACTTGGTTCAAAGGCTCCTATACATTCACTTAACATCTCCCAAAATCTCTCTCTCTCCTCTACATTCCTCTCTTCTCCAGGTGCATACACACTTATTATGACCCACTTTTCACATCCAACCTTTACTTTAATCCACATAATTCTTGAATTTACACATTCATATTCTCTTTTCTCCTTCCATTACTGATCCTTCAACATTACTGCTACCCCTTCCTTGGCTCTAACTCTCTCAGATACTCCAGATTTAATCCCATTTATTTCCCCCCACCGAAACTCCCCTACCCCCTTCAGCTTTGTTTCGCTTAGGGCCAGGACATCCAATTTCTTTTCATTCATAACATGAGCAATCATCTGTTTCTTGTCATCCGCACTACATCCACGCACATTCAAGCATCCCAGTTTTATAAAGTTTTTCTTCTTCTCTTTTTTAGTAAATGTCTACAGGAGAAGGGGTTACTAGCCCATTGCTCCCGGCATTTTAGTCGCCTCATACGACACGCATGGCTTACAGAGGAAAGATTCTTTTCCACTTCCCCATGGACAATAGAAGAAATAAAGAACAAGATATGTTGTGTATCTTTATATGTGTATGCTTCTAGACTGTTGTATTCTGAGCACCTCTGCAAAAACAGTGATAATGTGCGAGTGTGGTGAAAGTGTTGAATGATGATGAAAGTATTTTCTTTTTGGGGATTTTCTTTCTTTTTTTGGGTCACCCTGCCTCGGTGGGAGATGGCCGACTTGAAAAAAAAAAAAAAAGCTATTTAGAAAAAGGGGAAAACCTAGATGTATGTATATATATATGCATGTGCGTGTCTGTGAAGTGTGACCAAAGTGTAAGTAGGAGTAGCAAGATATCCCTGTTATCTAGCGTGTTTATGAAACAGAAAAAGAAACAAGCAATCTACCATCATGCAAAACAGTTACAGGTTTCTGTTTCACAGTCATCTGGCAGGACGGTAGTACTTCCCTGGGTGGTTGCTGTCTACCAACCTACTACCTATAGACTTATACGCTCTCCATGTCATTCTACTTTGATCCATTCTCTAAATGACCAAACCACCTCAGCAACCATTCATGGAGGTACTACCGTCCCACCAAGTGAGTGTAAAAGGAAGCCTTTATTTGTTTTACATGATGGTAGGACTGCTGGTGTCTTTTTCTATCTCAAACATGCAAGATTTCAGGTATGTCTTGATACTTCTACGTACACTTAGGTCACACTACACTTACATGTACAAGTTTATGTATACACACTCATCTGAGTTTTCTGTGATTTTATCATATTAGTTCTTGTTCTTAGTGCATTTCATTTCATATCCATGGGGAAGTGAAACAAGATTCTTTCCTCTGTAAGCCATGTGTGTTGTAAAAGTCAACTAAAATGCCAGGAACAATGGGCTAGTAACCTCTTTTCCCGTATAGTGATAGTATATAGAATAGTATGCATTTTGTTTTTTTTAACAAGTCGGCCGTCTCCCACCGAGGCAGGGTGACCAAAAAAAGAAAGAAAATTCCCAAAAAGAAAATACTTTTATCATTCAACACTTTCACCTCACTCACACATAATCACTGTTTTCGCAGAGGTGCTCAGAACACATATCTTATCAAATTGTTACTCCAGGGACCACTGCAATACAGGCTGAGGGACTGATCACTGTATCTACATCTCCCAAGACTTTATTTTGACTGAAGATCCCTGGTGAGCAAGTGCAATGTCTCTTCAAAGATGCCAAATTGTTCCAAGTGTCTTAGACAATGCATCTGATGTAAAGGTGTTGTCACAGCTGTGTTTTGCTGAAGAGACTAATTTTGGGGTATTCTTATTGCAGAGGTTGAATGAGGAGTTTGTGTGAAAAGAATAACATTGGAAGTGAACACAAAGCAAAGATTTACCAATAACACCATAATGAAAAGCAAACCAACTATGACGAAGTAATTAATAAAAAAGCCATAAAAACTCCAGTGTATAACTTACTGTTTGCTGACATGAGGTTCCTTTTAAGAGTCATGTTAAGATCAATTCGAAGGCATTGTTGTGTAATCTCCGTGAATAAATGGGGATCTCGGCAAGCAGCTGGGGCCAGCAACCTTAACAAATAATGTAATTCCTTTGCCCCTGACATGGTGTTGTTACTGGCTGATGACCGTACCACCTAAATTTTAACAGTACAGTATTACACAAAATGTACATTATATTCACATTAGTGTCATGGAAAAGCACTAAACTAGTTGTTGACTCAAGAAAAGCATATTAGATCATCAGTATTGAACAGTCCATTAAAACACATACTAACCTTCTCCATGGTATATCGTAATGTTGTGGGCTCCTCTAGAACATGTCTCATTAGCAAAGCTGCCAAATTTTGGAAGCCCCAGAAACCTGAAGATTCTGTGAGTGAGAGTAAGGTACGTACACCACCCAGACTGGCAAAGAGACAAGCGTGCTCCCATACCCTAGTCATTCTCAGACAGAGGCGCATCAAGGCATGAAGTGTATCTGGTTCAACTCCCAGTTTCATGAAACCTACACATGCTCTGTAAATACAAAACCCACTTAAATTCTAGAATTACAGAATAGTTAAGAGGTAAGACAACAATGTTTGATTAATTACATTAAAGTTTCATTTTATATTGGCAATAGGATGGCAACAGCAACTGTCCATTACCTATTTGGTAAATACAAATACCTCCTTATATTGTTGCTGTTCAACCTATTAAATACAGAATAAGGATTGCCGATTTTTCCTTTGTTATACCATATACATTAAAATATTAGTCTTAATACATCCCCTCTCAATCCACCCTATTACAGTAAACCCTCAAATTTGAGTGGATGGATGGTAATGGCTTTTGTCTTGGACAGAGATAAGATTATTTTGCTGTTATTGTTTTAAAGAAAAATTATGTAACCAAGAGACTTTGATCATTATTTCTGAATTAAGTGACCTATTGGATTTTATTCCATTTTTCCTAAATCTCTGTCATTAAATGCCTTTTCCATATATTGCACATACACACAGCCAACAATTCCCTTCCTTTATAGAAGTACTGCTCACTTGTGCATTCAAACACCCTATTACCTTCCTAAAACTACCGGGTTCTACTGCAATTTTAATATCCATCATTCAAATCATTACCAATAAAAATCCTGCCATGCTCCAATAGGTATACTTGAACTTGTTACCCTACAATTTTTAGATTCTTCTGCCCTTTCCCATGGTACATAAACATGCATCCCTGTATCTTTGTTAACCTTCTTTCATACACATCAAATAAATGCACAAACTATTCAAGCACTATCACAAACTTCTTTCAACATTTCCATGTTAATTCTTTCCATCCTTATTACTTTTTCTTGATGTTTCACTGATTGCTTCATATTCACTCCTGACCACTCATTTAATAAAGCTCAGGCCTTTTATAAAACGTGAAATTTCTGCTTCAACTTCATCATCTACATTTAGCAATTGCCCTCAAAAAATTTTTTAACTACCTTCTTATCCAGTATATCACCAATTCAAAAAAAAAATTTTTGTTCCATTGGTTTCCTCACTTTATTACTCCAATTTTTTTTGCACTGTCCATATTATCTACATTACATGAATGGGGAAGCATTAAAGCCATGAGGGCTATCCATAGCCCCACAAATGAAAGATAATATAATTTGATCCAGAAAGGTAACATAGCTTTAATACCTCATATCAAAGTGAACTTTAACAGAAACAGAAGAATTTAGTACTAAACCTATTTTTTCTCGGGGGTCCAAATTTGAATTTTCCCAGTTTTTTTTTTTTTTTTTCCTCAACAAGTCGGCCGTCTCCCACCGAGGCAGGGTGACCCAAAAAAGAAAGAAAATCCCCAAAAAGAAAATACTTTCATCATCATTCAACACTTTCACCACTCTCACACATTATCACTGCTTTTGCAGAGGTGCTCAGAACACAACAGTTTAGAAGCATATACGTATAAAGATACACAACATATCCCTCCAAACTGCCAATATCCCAAACCCCTCCTTTAAAGTGCAGGCATTGTACTTCCATTTTATTATTATTATTATTATTATTATTATTATTATTATTATTACTATTATTATATTATTATTATTATTACTATTACTATTATTATATAGAATCTGGACCCCAGTAATATGCTCCCTTGAGGTACCCCCTTTCAAGGATATACAGACTTAAATATTTACCTTATCATAGCCTCATGATGGCCAGGTGTTAGACCCTCGATAGACACCACTTGAGTGTTATCAAGTTCAGAAGCCACAGTAGTGGCATCCTCACCATCTTCACACTCCATTTTCTCATCTCCTGCAGCAACAGTTACAGCATCAGCTTGTACATCAGTTACTGGCACTAAGGCATTTTCTAAACTAACTGCTGCTTCTCCTGGCCTTGTAGCCTCAGTGGTACTTTCCTCTGTAGTTGCACTCTCTTGCTTGCCTCCTCTTAAACTTTCCTCTTCAGTAGTTGGGGTTGGTTCATCTTGAGGCATAGTATGTGGCAATTTCTTCTTCTGTTCAGCAATTGCCTTATCCTTTACAGTTATCATAACAGGACGCCGGTTCCCTGATTCCTCATTTACCTGGAAAAAAAAAAAAAAGCTGCAAATTTTCTGCAGTCTCCATGTTCAGCTAAAAAAAATAAAAAGTTTCAATGCAGCCATACCTAAATATATTCAGACCTTCTCTATATATTCTTCAAGTCAGTAAAATGATCTTTTACGTAGTGCTCAATCTTTCTTTACAGTGCCTGTTTACTCATGGCTAGTTGCCATTTGCAACTTTTCCTTACAAGCTTAAATCACTACTAAAAAGAAGAACTTAGATGCTCTATAAATCAAGTGTTATTTTTTTACAAGTTATTAGCTTTTATTGCCTAAAATGCTATGATAATAAAGACTACCAAAACTGTTTATTCTAATATTCCTGCTCCAACTTCCAATTTTAAAAACAAATTTTAATACCAAATTAGATTTTTTTTTAAACATGCTGGCCGTCTCCCACTCAGGCAGGATGACCCCCCCCCCCAAAAAAAAAAAAAATCATTCACATTATCACTCTTGCCAGAGGCATGAAGATATGACAGATTAAAGGTCACTCTAAACAGCCAATATCCCAAACCCCTCCTTTAAAGTGCAGGCACTGCATTTTCCACCGCTAGGACTCCAGTCTGGCTAACCATGTTTCCCTGAATTCCTACACAAAATATTAACCTGCTCACACTCCAACAGCTCAAGTCCCAAAGACCATTCATCCCCACTCACTCCTGTCTGTAACACTGACTCAAACACGCCTCCTGTATGTCTAAGCCCCTTGTATATAAAACCTTTACCTCCTCCCTCCACCCTTTCCTAGGACGACCTGTACCTCGCCTTCCTTCCACTAGAGAAAAAATTATATTAACCTTAATATTTACTTTTACTGCTGTACTTTAACAAATAATGGGAACTCACCTGCACCATTGAATGAAACTGGATGGTATATTTTCTGCGGCCATTGATAATGCGAATGCTTGCCTCACCTGCCCAGTAAGCATCATCAATAGTTTTATTGTTGCTAGCCGAGTAAGCACACCACTTAAGCGTACTCATGTCAAACCATTTCCATACATGATTACATATCTGTTGAAATATCCTCACAATAACAAGATATGCATTGATCCTTCAGATTAAGACATTTACACAAATTACTTTTAATGTATCAGTTACTACCATAGTAGGGCAACCCTACACAAAACCTATTGTGAAATACAGTAAAAGCAACATCACCTTACTGACAGAAGATCTTCTTTTAGTTGCAATAGCCAATTTCTCATACAAGTCAAGCAAGAGCAAACCAGGAGAGATCCATTTAGGTGTCCCAGAGCCATCCCCAGATTCTTTATCTTTTTCTTTAGCTTGTGAGTTTCCTAAAGGCACAGCCGTCGCTGGGCTGGGTGCTGGAGCAGCAGAAGCAGCAGCTGCCACAGTAGCAGTAGTGGGAGAATTTGTAACAGAAATAGAAGCCATAGCAGCATGCGTTAAGGTAAACAAATCTGTGAGTGTGTCTACCAGACCAGCTTGCTCCATTGCTATTGCACAGCCACTTTTCATTTCCTGAAATAAATTAAAATATCATTAGAAATAAAATTGTGTTGACAATTTGTGGATACATTGTGTTCACCTGTTTAAGTATTTATCTTTTTAGTTACAGGAGTAGAGCTACTGTATGCTCAAAATTTCCAGTCTTCTGTCAAAACAGGAAAATATACACAAATAATCCATACATGGGGGAGAGAGAAAGCTTATGATGTTTGATCCAACTTGGACCAATGTCCATGCCTAAAAATAAGTGGAATTTATAAATTATCATTCACACTTAAAATACATATAACTAAAAGGTGCAGAAATTATTGAGGAAAAAAATGTGGAGGGGGGAAGGGGTCACCATAACTTATCTATCAAATATATGAGCTTTTAGATATACCACTTAAATTTATCAGTCTTCTTCCTACAGGCTTCTAGTTCTTGCTATATTTTAAATTTATGAAACCTATACAAAAATGCACAGTTTTAGCCACTAACCTCAAATAACAACGTAACAAGATGCAATCTGACTGCAAACTTGGATGCCAGGACGGATGAGCATAGGAGTTCCACAGTTTCCTGTGTTGAGAGTGTGTTGGTCAAAAGCAACTGTCCTGCTTGGCTGCTAATCTGAAAGAAAAAAAAATGCACCTTGTGGAGCTACATGCTTTGAATTGAGTAATTATATACAAACAGTCTAACAGGATTGATATATCACTGTTGAGATTACATAATTTATGCGATCTTTATTTCTTCCAATTAAAATAAAATTTTCCTATCTTATTCCAACAGGTAACTTTTTTTCTCTCAAGAGAAGAAATAATTACATAAAATCTTCAACATTTCAAATACCTTAATGCTGAAAGTTACTTAAACATCAGAACTATTTCTGCAAGAATTATAATACCCAATTCAACTAAATTTGTACAAGTGGTGTCATAGATACCACTCGCTTCAGTTAAATAAACCTTTCCAGATAGGAAAACTTCCAAATATACTTGGCAATATGCTCAACAATACTTCATATCCTTCAATATGGATTCTGTCTGCAAAATGTGACTAATGACATCAAAATGACGCTACACATACACAACACACAATGAATGTCCAATTTGACTGTCAACTAACTTTTGAAAGGCTAACAATACTCTACACTACAACAACCATTATTTTTTTCCTGAAGCATTATAGGCAGAGGTCTCTTACAATACCATTACTATTTAATGATACTTACCTTTGCAATATGTTCTTACAGCTATAAATTAAAATACAAATTTCATGTCAAAATTTTAGTGCAAGAAAACTTGAATAAAAAGCCTCAATTAGTAGTGCATACAATGCATTATTTAATATGACATGGAAGAGAGGAGAGAGACTGGAGACAAAGCAGTATTCACTTATGAAGCTAGCAGTTTTCTGGATATTAACAACTTTCAAATTAAAAACAGGTAACCTACCTGGTTTATTAGTGTAGTGAGCATGTTGTCTCTCCACACTGTACCGTTGCGAGTAGCACATGTAGTGAGCAATTCACAGACTTTGTATACCATTTGAGGCTGGACATCTAGCTGACTCAAACATCCCTCCAATACAAATTCAGTGAAGTTATCTAACAAGAAAATTGAAAGTTATTCAACTTGAAAATTGAAATTGAACTAATAAAAATACCCTATTTCAGTAGAAATACAAGGATTCTTAATTGCAAAGATCTTTCTATATAACAGTAAATCCTACAAGGAAACTAGGCATCTGCATTTTTTTTTTTTTTAACATGTCTGCAGTTTCCCACAGAGGCATATTCTATGCAATATTTTAACAGTATGGTAATGGCAACATTTAGTTATAATGCAAATAAAGCTTTTGTAGAATAAAGCCAACTCACAATGCTCCAAAACTGTCTTGAAGATTTACTTCCAGTTCATGGTCAAGTTGTGAAAATCATACATTAAGGAAAGCCCCATTCCTACAATTACAGTGTAACAAAATTAGAAATGGTTCTGCCACATATGAATGATCATGACAAGCTCCTCCTAACTTCTTCCCCCTCCTCTATTTCTACGATGCTTCTTTTACCAAGAAGCATTCTAGAAAACACCTCAAATTCACTATTTTAAACCAAACACAAAGTCAGCATTTTGCTTGTTCCATCATGCACTGCATGGGGCAAGATTTTTTGTATACTATCCACATTTACTGAACACACCCAGTTTTTAATATCTAGGCCAAAATTTACTGCTTATCAGTTTATCTGAGGGAGCTGTACTCCAAACAGATCTACACGAGGGACCCTGCCATTAATAACATAGATCTAAGTGACTAACACTCAAAGGGTTAAATACTCTAACTTACCAAAATTACTTCAAAGCAAAAATGAATATTTCCATTAATCACTTAAATTTTATTAAAACCAACACAGATACTTTGTCAAAATATATGCCAGTCGGAGAATTTTGTAGAAGACTGGGTTGCAATGGCAATTTATCAATACTTACACAAACACCTTTTAAGATATATCTCGTCAACATTTTCATTTGGTATCAGATTAGTGCTTGACTACCTACCAAGGGTGTCTTTACTGAGAGGTTCATCATCCACAACTTTTTGAGGGACAGGTGGCGGTTTGGCAAGTACACTTCGGTGCTGACTGCCACTACCTGACACTTGAACATTCTCACCAAGTGACATGGCAATAGCTTGCAGCATTTGATCTTCCTCCGTCAACTCCATATCACCGCCGCCTCCAGCCTGAGAGATTCAAGATATGGTCACTAAAATATAATGTCCTGTAAGCTCATTGTATCTGTCACACACATGGTACAGGGATACAGCTCCAGTTCCTGAGCTTCAAATTTTAACCATTAAATAATCCATATGACCTACATTTCATCATTTTTAAAATTCAAATGGTCGTGACAGACATAAATAGTGCGAGATCGCACATGGGAGGAAGGAGCACATGTGGGAAGAAGTGTGAGGATGGTCAAAGAAGCAGAATAGTGAGAATGATGGTCAAGCGGGTATGGACAGTGTTGGTGGCAGTGAATGTTATAATTTTTTAACAAAATACCAAAGAAATGATCAAATTGAAGGGATTACTGAGGAAGTAGAGAAACTGTTAATGAAACTGACAAATCAAAAGCATCAGAGGCAATGACACAGTAGAACCAAACTCTCTATATATTAAAAAATAGATACAACAGGGTTCAATCACAACAGCAGAAGGTTAAGAGGCAGGATATAGAGCTGGAGCTTAACCCCTCTCCCATCTCCATGAACACAGAGGTAATTACAAAACAATGTTACATATAAATACTTACACCAGAAACTTGATCCATAAGAGGGTTCATTAATAAGTACTCTGTGGCCTGTTGTAGTGTATGGGTCTGTGCAATAGCCTCCATACAACGTTCCCTCCCAAAACCCATGTCCATCAGAGCCTGCAAATGTTGCTGGTTCACCTCAGAGTCTGCTGAAGGCTGACTGGCTGCCTCTAAGGACACTGGAGCAGAAGCTGGCACAGGAGATGGTGTGACAGTAGTTGCAGTGGCAGGGGTGGTGGTAGTGGTTGTGGTGCTAGTAGTAGTGGTGGTGGTAGTGGTTGTGGATGTATTGTTAGTACTTGTATTTGTGGTGGTCGTGGTGGCTGTAGTTGTTGAAGTAGGCATGCTTTCCTTCTCCTTGGCAAGACGTTCAAGTATAATTGCCTCACCCTTTATGATAGAGCAAAGGATGACCAGAACAGATTCAGATATGCGTACTCCATAGGACTTCAAAGGCTTTTTGTTCCACAATTTCATTACAGCTTCAAATGCAACCTGAGGAAATTAACACTATTAATTTTAAGAAAAAGCGTAATTTCAGCAGTCACTCCCTAAATTTTATGTTTATGTCTAACATTACCTTAATTGTACTACTAATAATAACAATATGCTCTACTGACAGCTTAAATTCTTCTTGGCAAAACACTGTGGAAGTCCTTATTACACAAAGATAACATGCTTGATTTGGAAAACATTGGTAATTATATAAATAATCAAGGTTGTTGAACATTTAAAGATGGGGTTGTGAAAGAAGTAAATGCCAGGGTGTTGGGGAGAGGGGTAGGATTAAATTATGGAGAAACAAATACAAAATGGGAGTTGACACAGTTACTTCTTGCTTATGATACTGTGCTTATGGAGATTCTAAAGAAAAGTTGCAAAGGTTAGTGGACGAGTTTGGGAGGGTAAAGGTAGAAAGCTGACAGTGAACACAGATAAGAATAAGGTGATGAGGGTATCAAACGATTTAAATAAAGAAAAACTGGATATCACACTGGAGGGAGGGCGTATGGAAAGTGAATGTTTTCAGATATTTGGGAGTAGACCTGTCAGCAGATGGGTTTATGAAGGATGAGGAACCACAGAATTGGTGAAGGAAAAATGGCGAGTGATATGTTGAGGTATCTGTGGAGACAGCGTTATCCATGGAGGCAAAGAAGTAAATGTACGAGAGTATAGTGGTACCAACGCTCTTATGTGGGTGTGAAGCATGGGTTGTAAATGCTGAAGCCAGGTGGTGGCTAGGCAGTGGAGATGTGTCTAAAGGGCAATGTGTGGTGTAAATATTATGCAGAGAATTCGTAGTGTGGAAAATAGGAGGTGTGGAGTTCTTAACCCTTTGACTGTTTTGGTCGTATATATACGTCTTACGAGCCAGTGTTTCAGACGTATATATACTCAATAATTCTAGCGGCTTCAAATCAAGCAGAAGAAAGCTGGTAGGCCCACATGTGAGAGAATGGGTCTGTGTGGTCAGTGTGCACCACATAAAAAAAATCCTGCAGCACACAGTGCGTAATGAGAAAAAAAAAAACGATCGTTTTTTTGGATTAAAACACCGACTTTGAGGTGTATTTTCGTATAGTATTTATCGATGTATTTGCGTTTTCATGGTCTTAGGTGATAAAATGGAAAACATATTACAGAAATAGAGATGATTTTCATTACTTTGACAATGAAAACGACCTTCAAACTGAGCTCAAAGTAGCGGAAATGTTCGATTTTTACCAATGTTCAGGAGTAAACAAATCACACCACACGTCCAATACACATCAACTGGGGAGTCTAATATTCTTTCACTAGTGCACTGATATTATTTATACCATTTTTACAATAATGCAGTAGTCTGCATAACAGTAAATTTTGTAAATTTTTTTGTACGAATAAAAAATCAAAATAGAAAGCAATAATAATACAAGAGGGGCCTAGAGATGTGACTAATAACAGAGAATATGTTATTTTAGTGCCAAGAATGTCTACCTTGTTTATTCTGGACCCTATTTTGAAATTGGCATGTTTTTTAGTTTGCGTGAAATTGGCCAAATTGCCAATTTCTGACCACAATATTGGGTAGTCCAAATTGGTAAATGGGAGGTTTCTTGTACTCAGCTGATAGATAAAATGGAGTTCTAAAGAAATAGCTATGAGTTTGGTCAACTGGAACAATGGAATTGGCTGAAAATAGGGCTCAAAGTCGGCGAAATTGCCGATACGCATATGTCGCCGGAATTACGTGGAATCCTAATTCCATGAGTTTTCGACCAAATTTTGAACTTTTGGTGTCATTACCATCGGGAAAAGATTATCATTTCATAAGATTTTTTTTTTTTTTTTTTTTCAAAAATTTAGCGACATAGAATGACAGTTTCAGAAAGGGGCCTGAAACAGTCAAAGGGTTAAAAGTATTAGTAGAGGGCTGAAGAGGGGCTGTTGAGGTAGTTTGGTCATTTAGAGAGAATGGAGAGCATATAAATCTGTTGGGGAAGGAAGGCAGGGTAGGGGTCGTCCCTGAAAAGGTTGGAGGGAGGAGGTAAGGAAGGTTGTGGGCGAGGGGGCTTAAACTTCCAGCAAGCATGCGTGAGCGTGTTAGATAGGAGTGAATGGAGACTAATGGCTTTTGAAACCTGTGTCCTGGAAAGTGGGAAGTACAATGCCTGTACTTTAAAGGAGGGCTTTAGGATACTGGCAGTTTGGAGGGACGTCTAAACTGTCGTATCTGAGCGCCTCTGCGAAGACAGTGATTATGTACGAGTGATGGTTAAAGTGTTGAATGATTAAAGTTTTTTCTTTTTTGAGTTTTTCTTTCATTTTGGGTCACCCTGCCTCGATGGGAAACAGCCGACATGTTAAAAGAAAAAGAAAATAAGGAGTGGTAACAGCTTAAAAAAAGGCATTTTACAAATTTTTTTTTTTTTAACACGCTGGTCGTCTCCCATCGTGGCAGGGCGAGGGAAAAAAAAACTTTCACCAAGTAATTTTTTTTAAGACTTTCGAGTACAAAAAAAATTTACCAATCTGCATCAACTGAAACACAACTTAAGCCTTAAACTATATAGGAGTTTAGTAATATGATCTCTGCTGGTAAAATGTCATCTGAATTAATTCCTCAGAATGCTGTTTTGTCATTTACTACATAGCAAAAATATGATCAGTAAACAAATAACTGAACATTCCTTTCCTTACACATCATGACTTCCTTGCTGACCCGTGAATATATGAGTGAGACCAATGGTGCAACTGCTCTAATGCAAAAAATAATAGGCAATACCATAAGAAGACTAGCATAAAATTTTCATGCAAGAAATTATGAAATTTTCTCGGATATCTGCTCCAAAATACACTTCATTCATTTTACTAATTTTATCTACCAAAAAGAACCATGTTTATAATTCACCTAATAATCAATGTTTTGTGTACCTTTTGTATATGAATTAAAAACTTGAGAGGACTGAATGGTTGATAGCCAGGTTGTGAGGACTTGGCGGGAAGGGAGTTGGGAGAATCCAACATAGTCCGTGGGTTGACTAATCGCTCCAGTAAGAATAACCATGTGTCCAAAAATTCTCCAGTACCTTCAGGTAACTCTCCAGAATCCAATCCATCTTGTCCCTGAACAGCCCCTCCTGCTGTGATGGCCCACTCAAATGTGTCAAAGAAGGCTGAAAATATGCAACTATGTAGAGCCATAGGAATTTTATTTCATATATACAATACATAAAAAATACTATTACCAGACATAAAATGGAGCTCTATCAAGTACTGAATTATTTTTATTGAAAGATAAAGTGATCAATTTAATTCCAAAATCACTGAACTAGATAAAACAAAGCAATTATAAAAATACTATGTAATATAGTGTAATACATCAGTGAACAAAGTAGCACAAATAACTGAAGTTAGTGATACAGTACAATCTCAACATGAAACAAGTTCTTACTAAAATATACCTACAACAAAAAATGTAGTCACCAAGATTTCCATACATTTATTAATGTGGCTGCTTCACAGGCACATCAGAAGAAAAACAATGGTTAAAGACCCATTAATTTTACTGAAGGAAGGAAAGTTCTTGAAAAAAGACAAGTGTCTGAAGTGCTGAACAAACTATTCAAAGATTTTCTCAAGTGGAAAAAGTGGCAATGCCAGAAAGCCCAGGAGAAAATACATCAGCAGGTACTGGACACCATACATCACAAATGATGGAACCAAGAGGTTGTCACTGTGGATTCTCCAAGAGGAAGCAGAAGTTCTGTCTGAACAGCTAGCTATGGTTTACAAGTCAAAGAACCCAGGACAGTTGCCAAAGACAGTAAATGTAGTACCTATATTTAACAACAGGCAGGAGGCACTGAACTACATCCAGTTTCCCTAATCTGTAAACAAGAAAAACTTTCATTTTTCTTTTTGGGCCACCCTGCCTTGGTGGGATACAGCCAGTTTGTTGGAAAAAAACAAATATTTATTTACAACAAGTACATGTATATGGTATACAGGCCTAGCTGACATCAATGACATACTACTATACAGAAAGCCAGTTGTTATGCAGAGCATTTCAGGAACGCTAGGTCAGTTTTGTCACAGGATGTGAACCACGCCAGTCGACTAACTCCTAGGTACCCATTTTACTGATGGGTGAACAAAAAACTTAACAGACAACCAGTGTAAAGAAACATGCTCAATGTTTCTATCCTCGCTGGGAATCGAACCCAGACCCTCGCCGTTTGAAGCAAGAGCTTGAGCCACCAGGCCACAGGGCACTGTGGCCTGGTGAGGAGAGCAGTGGAGCACTTGGAGGAGTGGTTTCATAAACCACCAGCAAGCATGCAGCAATGACAAGTCATCTTACCAGACTTTAGGAATGCTATGACAAAATAATTAAAGCAAGACAGGAGTGTGTTGGGTGGATTGCATTTTCTTGGTCTACAATATGGCATTTGATACTGTAACCTGCAGGAGACTGGGGGCATAAACTTGAAAAGCAAGCATGAATAACTGGGAATGTACTCCAGTAGATAAAGGAGTACCTTAGGGAAACGAAGCAGAGTGCATGTACAGGAAGATGTCAGAATGGGAAGGAGCATAAAGCAGTTTACCACAAGGTATACATAACAGATACAATTGAATCAGATGTATCTATTCAGTGATGATGTAAAACTAATGAGAATACAGATGAGGATGGGAAATAAGACTGGAAAAGGATCTGGACACATTGCAGGGCTGGTCAGAAATAGTTGCTTGATTTCAGTCCCAGCCAATGCAAGGTTTTGAAGGTTGGGAAAGAGGCCAGAAGACCAGACATAGTATGAACTTGTTCAAAGAAAACCTGCAAGTAATCCCAGTGCCTACCAAACTGCCAGAGGCTCACATCAACCAAATAACCTCTACAGCCAATGTTTACTTGGAAAAATCCGAGAGTGGCCTTCAGTATCTTAAGAGCCATTCTTGGTGCTTTATACAACATGTGTCAGACCTATCTTGGAGTGCACAGCACCAGCTTGGAACCCACACCTGAGGAAGCATGTTAAGAAACTGGAGAAAGTGCAGAAGTATGCAATGAGACTAGTTCCAGAGCTAAAGAATATGAGCTACCAGGAAAGGCTAAAGGAACTTAATTTCAAGAAGACCTTGTAAGACAGAAGAACTAAAGAGACATGTTGACTTACAAAATCCTCAAGAGGAATTGATAAGGCAGAGAGGGAGAGAGGCAGGGAAAAGATATTTGGGGGAAAGAGCCGTAAGTTAAAGATACTTAGTCGCAGGGATGTCAGGAAGTATCTCTTAAGTTCAGAGAAGTGAAATTCACCAAAACAAAGCAGTGGAATCAGACTCCATTCAGTTTTAAGAATAGATACGATAGGGCCCACAAGGCTAGGAGAGTGTGAATCTGGCAAGCAGTAAGTTGAGAGGCGGGGCCACAAGCCAAGACTACCAATGCAAGCAAATAGGAGAGTATTGCATTTAAATACTGTGCAGATTCTCTTGTAGTGACAAGAAATGTCACCTTTGGTCTGACTTGCAAATGGCAACTTATATAAATACCAATGTCACAAATTAAAGAATTTAAATAAAAAAATTACCAAGATCTAAGTTTTTTTTTTTTTTCTCCAACAAGTCGGCCGTCTCCTACCGAGGCAGGGTGACCCAAAGAGAAAGAAAATCCCCAAAAAGAAAATACTTTCATCATCATTCAACACTTTCACCTCACTCACACATAATCACTGTTTTTGCAGAGGTGCCCAGAATACAACAGTTTAGAAGTATATACAATGTACGTATAAAAATACACAATATATCTCTCCAAACTGCCAATATCCCAAACCCCTCCTTTAGAGTGCAGGCATTGTACTTCTCATTTCCAGGACTCAAGTCCAGTTATATAAAATAACCGGTTTCCCTGAATCCCTTCACTAAATATTACCCTGCTCACACTCCAACAGATCGTCAGGTCCTAAATACCATTTGTCTCCATTCACTCCTATCTAACGCACTCACGCACGCTTGCTGAAAGTCCAAACCCCTCGCTCACAACACCTCCCTTTACCCCCTCTCTCCAACCTTCTCGAGGACGACCCCTACCCCGCCTTCCTTCCCCTACAGATTCATACGCTCTCCTTGTCATTCTACTTTGATCCTTCTCTCTAAATGACCAACCCACCTCAACAAACCCTCTTCAGCCCTCTGACTAATACTTTTATTAACTCCACACCTCCTAATTTCCACACTCCATATTTTCTGCATAATATTTACACCACACATTGCTCTTAGACAGGACATCTCCACTGTACCTTTTAGACCTTGAGAAGATACAAAGTACTGAAGCATCAGATGGTAAGGCATCTTCTTGTCATCGAAAAGCATAGGATTGGTAAACCTTACAGAACATATCAGGAAAGTAAGACGAAACTTGGGTACAGGAGAAGATGGAGGTGGTGTCCAGGAAAGGCCAGCATAGAGGAGCTGTGCCAAAGCAGATGCCACTGCCCTTGCTGATGTAGATGGTGGGGTGATTGGAGTTGCCACTTGTTGTCCTCTGCGTTGACGTAATGGTGATCCAACACACAACTAGAAATCATTCAATGAACTCAATGTTATAAAATTCATTAAAGAAACAGTAAGCAATTATGAAATGGTAACTGAACCCTAAGATCATCTCCTATACAGCCAATACTGTACAAAGAAGAGGGAAGATGATGACATACTCTCCTTTACATATTTGTTTCTTCTGTAACTATTACACAAACTCATCTTTGTTATATATTTGGTATAAGAGGTTCCTACTCATCTGGTACAACATTTCTCAAGAAAACAGATTTCAAAATTGTGAATATGCTTGGATGAGCCACACAGTGCACCACGGATTTTATTTTTCTCGTTTTTACCTGAACAAATGTTACTGTATAGAATGTTTTTTTGGTGTAGGTATGGTAAATTCCTTCTAGGTAGTAGGCTGGTAGACAGCAAACCCAGAGAGATACTACTCTCCTGCCAAGTGAGTAAAATGAAAGCCTGTAATTGTTTTACATGGTAGGATTGCTGGTGTCTTTTTTCTGTCTCAAACATGCAAGATTTCAGGTACGTCTTGCTACTTCTACTTACACTACACTTGCATGTACAAGCATGTACATACACACAACCCTCTGGGTTTTCTTCTATTTTCTTACTAGTTCTTGTTCATTTCCTCTTGTGTCCATGGGGAAGTGTAACAGAATTCTTCCTCAGTAAGCCATGTGTGTTGTAAGAGGCGACTAACATGCCGGGAGCCAGGGGCTAGTAACCCCTTCGACTGTATACATTACTAAAATTAAAAAGAGAAACTCTTGCTTCTCTTTTTGGGCCACCCTGCTTCAGTGGGATATGACCATTTCATTGAAAGAAGAATTTTGTCAAGAAATGTGGGTCCTGAAATTCAATAGTGCTTATGCAAAAACTTTATGAAGAATTTCACTGAACCTCCAGGAGCATAACCCCCAGAGAATTTGTAGGGACAACTGTACAAATCATTGAAGACATTGTAAAGGCACAGGAAAAAATAATTAATGAGTACAGTAGTGTAAATTACTCACCTTGACAAGTAAACCAAAGAGCTCAGCTAGAGCCTTCCCTAATCTAGATGCTGACGATAAAAGAGGTTTGATCAGCTTCATCTGATGTTGTGTAGCAGCTGACTGTTGTCGAGTTGGGCTCTCTGTGCTACTGTCGTCAGCTGTCGGCGCACTCCCTCCTGTTGCCACTTTCACATCTGTTTCTGTTACTTCCATGGCAACAGCCTCACTTCGGCTTCCATCATCACACTAAAATTATAATTGAATCAAATTTGAAACCTTTAGCCAATCTGTGAAAGCTAATAAATTAATATTAATTAAATTTTAGGTTTTGGTTAAAAAACTGCAGTTATCCCTTAAATGTTAAATACCAAATTTCCTAATCCTTTAAAATGCTGGCAAATGGTTTCTTGCTGTTTCATACTTGGTTTCCATTTTCTTTTCCTTATGGCTTTCACCCAGACCCAAAAGCTCCATGCTTGTTCAGAACTACATTAGCTACAATTCGCAAAGTGATTCCATATTCATTCGTAAAACTTCAGATTCAACCTCACCTTTGTTTACACCTTCTCAAACAATCTCACTCGAACCCCATTTTTCTTACATGCTCTTGTATTCTCCTTTACTTGCATTCATGATTCTGAAGGTTATTTCTCCCATTTTACCACCATTCACTTTCCTGAATGCTACTTAATACCAAAGATAACCACCACCTGTTGGCAGCTACCAATGGGCATGATCCTTGAACCTGACTGCTTTTGTCAAGGACTGCTAATGGTCTGATCTTGAGCTCTTCTTATTTCTTGCAGTTTGCTTATGATTTATTAAAAATTATGCAACATCACAAACTTCAATGATGGTCTGCTAGCATGCTATAGCATACAATAAAAAGAGGGAGAGGGGGGAATAATGGTTTGTCCATTACTTAAAACAGTATTATTTTAGTAGAGGGAAGTACTAAACCTGTAGGGGTCATATCACCTAAGAAATGGGCAATCAGATTTGATCAAAGTGGAAGGTAGCTGTGTACCTTTCAAGGTAGGTACTATACCAAGGTATGGTATAGTACCTACCTTGAAAGGAACACAGTAACTACATTAGTGTACCCCCACATGACTGCTCTATATTTTACACTATCATTTCCTTTTTAGGTTTGTTAGTTCTTTTGCTCCCGGGTAATATTTTAGAAATATTACACCTCAGCATGTATTCCATTTACCCCCTATCTGCCAAGATTCCACCCACAACTGCCTTAAACAATGTTTGTAGTAATTACAAATTTTGTCGAGATTTAAAATAAAAAAAAATAGAACCTGAAGATTCTAGGAATAAAAAATATTTTATCGTATAAATCTAATTATGCCGGGAGCAAGGGGCTAGTAACCCCTTCTCCTGCATAAATTACTAAATTTAAAAAGTGAGACTTTTGTTTTTCTTTTTGGGCCACCCTGCCTTGGTGAGATACGGCCGGTTTGTTGAAAAAAGAAAGATGAATCTAATTATATAATAAAACAAATTCCTTTTAAAAATTTTTTTTTAACAAGTCGGCCATCTCCCACTGAGGAAGGGTGACCCAAAAAGAAAATACTTTCATCGTCATTCAACACTTTCACCTCACTCACACAATCACTGTTTTTGCAGAGGTGCTCAGAACACAATGTTTAGTAAGCATATACGTATAAAGATACACACCATCCCTCCAAACGGCTAAAAACCCGAAAAACCCCTCCTTTAGAGTGCAGGCATTGTACTTCCCATTTCCAGGACTCAAGTCCGGCTATATAAAAATAACCGGTTTCCCTGAATCCCTTCACTAAATATTACCCTGCTCACACTCCAACAGATCGTCAGGTCCCAAATACCATTCATCTCCATTCACTCCTATCGAACACGCTCATGCACGCCTGCTGGAAGTCCAAGCCCCTCGCCCATAAAACCTCCCTTACCCTTTCCTTCCAACCTTTTCGAGGACGACCCCTACCCCGCCTTCCTTCTCCTACCGATTTAAATGCTCTCCATGTCATTCTACTTTGATCCATTCTCTCGAAATGACCAAACCACCTCAACAACCCCTCTTCAGCCCTCTCACTAATACTTTTGTTAACTCCACACCTCCTAATTTCCACACTCCGAATTTTCTGCATAATATTTACACCACACATTGCCCTTAGACAGGACATCTCCACTGCCTCCAACCATCTCTTTGCTGCTGCATTCAAAACCCAAGCTTCACACCCATATAAGAGTGTTGGTACTACTATACTTTCATACATTCCCTTCTTTGCCTCCATAGATAACGTTTTTTGCTCCACATATACCTCAACGCACCACTCACCTTTTTTCCCTCATCAATTCTATGATTAACCTCATCCTTCATAAATCCATCCGCCGACACGTCAACTCCCAAGTATCTGAAAACATTCACTTCTTCCATACTCCTCCTTCCCAATTTGATATCCAACTTTTCTTTATCTAAATCATTTGATACCCTCATCACCTTACTCTTTTCTATGTTCACTTTCAACTTTCTACCTTTACACACACTCCCAAACTCATCCACTAACCTTTCCAATTTTTCTTTAGAATCTCCCATAAGCACAGTATCATCAGCAAAAAGTAACTGTCAATTCCCATTTTGTATTTGAGTTTAGAAGTATATACATATAAAGATACACAACATATCCCCCCAAATATATCTATTAAATATATATTAAAGATCTCTATTAAAAATGCTATTAGATGACTAACCCTTAAATCTGGAGGGAGAAGTTTGTCGGTGTCTTCCTTTCCAAAAAGACAGCCAGCAGGAAGAGCATCATCTGAACAGAGAGCTAACAACACTGTAGACTCCCACACAAGTGAGGTGTACAACTGGGTGAGTCCTGCCAAAACACGTAGGCCTAGCTCTGTTCCCCACTGGTTGATAGAGACCTGCCTTATCTCTGTTTGTCCCGTGCGGCAAACGTGGACCAGCATCATAATGTAAGCATGAACGGCACTAAGGGTATGCAAGAGAGGTGTAGCCTGCGGAGATGCTGTGGCCTCACCAGGGGTCGGCGCAGAAGCTAACTCGTGCAGCAAAACTGATCCCCCTGGAGAAGGCAGAGGCTGATGTAGTGGAGCCAAAGCTTCTAATTTCTCATTCAGGCACTGTAGTCCTCTTTGAAGAACTCCACTTTCATGAGCAAGATTCTGAAAAAGAAATATATTCAAAAGTTTTTTTTTTTTCAACAGCCATCTCGTGCCAAGACCAGGTGGCTCAAAGAACACACATTCACCATCTTTCATTCAATCTCTCTTTCCAAATGTGTGCTGACATCACAATTCAGATTAACCTAACTACAACATTCCCACCTCTCCTTCAAAGTGCACACACTACACTCTACAAATTTACATTTCACACAACACACACTATCCTTTACCATCCAATGCTACTAAAACTAACCAGAACCTCACTAACCAAAGTGGTAAAAAATAGCTACTTTTAAACATTGTGATGACCAAGGTGAAATAAGGGCAAACATGTTTTTATTTTTATTTTTTACATAAAATTAGGGGCCATTCTAGCTTGAATTCACAAGGTGAACTCTCCCTCATTCACTTTAGATCACACCCACTACCAGCCTCCCATCTCCCTTCCAAACCATTTAGGCCCCATCTTACCCATTTTCATCTCAGTTTTCCACTACTATCCAATGTAGCCCTCTCCATTCCCTTTCACTTCAACCTCCTCCTCCCTTTGTACACCAACTCCCTCCCAGCACACCATCTCATTACAGACATGCATACTACTTTTAAAAAAGTTAATACACAGGTTTTTAAATACATGCAAGCTTGCATTAATATATAAATCATTTCATTAAACATATTAAAGTACACAAAGCATCTCTTCTAACCAATATGGACTTGCAGACTGATGCTACAGATTGGCAAGCTTGAGAAACTGGGAAGTCTATTGGAAGATTTGGCAGTCCCAAAATGCCTAGTAGTGGTACAAGGCCTTTCTGGGAGACAAATTCTTTGCAGTGGTCATCAGTCGAATTGTTGCTAAGGATGGCATCTACAAACTTCATGACATTAAGTACATAGTCCACAAGAGGTACAGGCCGTTTTTCACCAGGTGTGGTATCAGATGGGGGAACGTCTTCCCGCTGTCCAGCCGAGACGACGGTCCAGCAACGCCACTCTCTCTCTCTTCCTCCTCCTCTTCCTCTTCATCACTAGAGTTATCATTTGTTGTTCTGTGAATGTAACATCATATGGTGCATAATAAAATAATAACAATGCGCACAAATTAGATAAGAATTTTCTTTTTTCTTTTCTAATATATATATCAAAGATTTTAAAGCACAAATCTAGATAAACTAACAGCAGTAATTATTTGTCAATGACCCTATATTAAGAAAGCAAAGTGAAGATACTGTGCTATTAGGTTATTTTGTTATGCCCCTGGACACTCTTGATACACAAGATGTTCCATTACACAAAGGTTAACTGAATGGCATAAAAGCTAATTCAAATACTGCTCTGAGAAAGGGTTGGGCCCCCTAGCCTCCTCCCTGGTCTGTTTTATGGGTTTTAACCAGGTCTGCTTCAATTATTGGGAGTTTGAAAAATAAACAATCATTTTTTTTTTTTCAAACAAGTTGGTCGTCTCCCACCGAGGCAGGGTGACCCAAAAAAGAAAGAAAATCCCCAAAAAGAAAATACTTTCATCATCATTCAACACTTTCACCACACTCACACATTATCACTGCTTTTGCAGAGGTGCTCAGAAAACAACAGTTTAGAAGCATATACGTATAAAGATACACAACAAATCCCTCCAAACCGCCAATATCCCAAACCCCTCCTTTAAAGTGCAGGCATTGTACTTCCCATTTCCAGGACTCAAGTCCGACTATATGAAAATAACCGGTTTCCCTGAATTATTATTTATTATTATTATTATCACACTGGCCGATTCCCACCAAGGCAGGGTGGCCCGAAAAAGAAAAACTTTCACCATCATTCACTCCATCACTGTCTTGCCAGAAGGGTGCTTTACACTACGTTTTTTAAACTGCAACATTAACACCCCTCCTTCAGAGTGCAGGCACTGTACTTCCATCTCCAAAGGGCTCAAGTCCGGCCTGCCGGTTTCCCTTTAATCCCTTCATAAATGTTACTTTGCTCACACTCCAACAGCACGTCAAGTATTTAAAAACCATTTGTCTCCATTCACTCCTATCACACACGCTCACGCATGCCTGCTGGAAGTCCAAGCCCCTCCACACAAAACCTCCTTTACCCCCTCCCTCCAACCCTTCCTAGGCCGACCCCTACCCCGCCTTCCTTCCACTACAGACTGATACACTCTTGAAGTTATTCTGTTTCGCTCCATTCTCTCTACTTTTCCGAACCACCTCAACAACCCTTCCTCAGCCCTCTGGACAACAGTTTTGGTAATTTCCCCCACCTCCTCCTAACTTCCAAAAAAAACGAATTCTCTGCATTATATTCACACCACACATTGCCCTCAGACATGACATCTCCACTGCCTCCAGCCTTCTCCTCGCTGCAACATTCATCACCCATGCTTCACACCCATATAAGAGCGTTGGTAAAACTATACTCTCATACATTCCCCTCTTTGCCTCCAAGGACAAAGTTCTCTGTCTCCACAGACTCCTAAGTGCACCACTCACTCTTTTTCCCTCATCAATTCTATGATTCACCTCATCTTTCATAGACCCATCCGCTGACACGTCCACTCCCAAATATCTGAATACGTTCACCTCCTCCATACTCTCTCCCTCCAATCTGATATTCAATCTTTCATCACCTAATCTTTTTGTTATCCTCATAACCTTACTCTTTCCTATATTCACCTTTAATTTTCTTCTTTTGCACACCCTACCAAATTCATCCACCAATCTCTGCAGCTTCTCTTCAGAATCTCCCAAGAGCACAGTGTCATCAGCAAAGAGCAGCTGTGACAACTCCCACTTTGTGTGTGATTCTTTATCTTTTAACTCCACGCCTCTTGCCAAGACCCTCGCATTTACTTCTCTTACAACCCCATCTATAAATATTATTAAACAACCACGGTGACATCACACATCCTTGTCTAAGGCCTACTTTACTGGGAAAAAATTTCCCTCTTTTCTACATACTCTAACTTGAGCCTCACTATCCTCGTAAAAACTCTTCACTGCTTTCAGTAACCTACCTCCTACACCATACACTTGCAACATCTGCCACATTGCCCCCCTATCCACCCTGTCATACGCCTTTTTCCAAATCCATAAATGCCAAAAAGACCTTACCCTTTATCTAAATATTTCACTTAATTTCACTTAAAAACACCTGGTCCAACACCCCCACCTTTCCCTAAACCCTCCTTTTCATTTCTACCCATTTCCGTTTATCTTAATTTTTTTAAAATTATAACTCTACCATACACTTTACCGGGTACACCAACAATTACCCCCCTATAATTTTTGCACCCTTTTACCCCCTTTTGCCTTTATAAAAGGGAAACTATGCTTTCCCTCTGCCAAATTCCCTAGGTACCTTCCCCTCTTCCAACATTTATTAAAAATAGCACCAACCACTCCAAAAAATATCCCACCTGCTTTTAACATTTCTATCTTTACCCCACAATCCCCCCCTTTAAACCCCCTTTCTTTTTACCACTCCCTCACGAACCCCCCCCCACTCAAAACTGGCTTTCCTCACCCCCTACAAGAGTTTTCCCCCTTGCCCGTAAAAACCCGAAATCACAGCTTCCCATCTCATAAAACATTTAAAATTCCTCAAAATTTCCCCTCATTTTCCCAATACCCTAACTCCCCTTTTAATAACTTCCTCTCCTTTTTTTAACTGAAAAATCCATTTGTTCTCTAGGCTTCCTTAACTTTTTTAATCTCACTCCAAAATTTTTCTTATTTTCAACAAAATTTGTTGATAACAGCTCACCCATTTTCCTCATTTGCTCTCTTTTACTTTGTTTCCCACTCTTTTAACCTCCCCTTTTTTTCTCCATTACTCTTCCCTCCTTGCATCACTTCTATTTTGAAAAAATTCTCATATGCTAACTTTTTCTCCCCCTTACTACTCTTTTTACATCATCATTCACCAATCCTCCTTTCCCTCCTGCACCCACTTTCCTTAACCAAAATTCTGGAACACCAACCCACACTTTTTAAACCCCCCAACCCCCTTTTCGACCCCATTGCCTATGCCTCTTGCCCATTTTCCCTCCAATAGCTTTTATATCTTACCCAAACTCCCTCCTCTTTTAGTTTTAACCTTCACCTCCCTTCCCTGATCTTCTTTCTCCTTGTATCCCTCTACCTTTTACTCTCAGTGTAGCTACAACTAAAAGTGATCTGATATATCTTGGCCCCCCTTATAACAGTACATCCGAAGTCTACTCAACAGTCTTTTTTTCTACCCAAAACATAATCCCCAAAAAACTACGTCTTTCGCCTACATATATCGTGTATACTTATTTATCCTCTTTTTTTTTAAAAATGTATTACCTATAAATAAACCCCTTTCTAAACAAAGTTCAAACAAAGGGCCCCATTTTCTTTCAAACCCGGGACCCCAAACTACCTACCCCACCCTCTCTAAAGTTCTCCTACTTTTGCTTCGGGCCCCCTCCACAATTACTCTCTCACTTGGTTCAAAGGGTCCCATACATTCACTTAACATCTCCCAAAATCTCCTCTCTCCTCTGCATTTCCCCCTCTTCTCCATTCAACACGCTTATTATGACCCACTTCCGCATCCAACCTTTACTTTAATCCACAAAATTCCGAATTTACAATTTTATTTTTTTTTCTCCTTTCCTAACTGATCATTTAACATTATGCTGCCCCTTCCTTTGTCTAACTCTCACAGATACCCAGATTTAATCCCCTTTATTCCCCCCCTGAAATCTCCTACCCCCCTTCACTTTTTTTCGCTTTGAGCCAGGACATCCAAATTCTTTTTATTCATAACATCGCAATCATCTGTTTTTGTCATCCCCTACATCCACGCAATTTAAACAAACCCCGTTTTTTTAAAGTTTTTTTCTTTTCCTTTTTTAGTAAATTATACAGGAGAAGGGGTTTCTACCCATTGCTCCCGGCATTTTTGTCGCCTCAACGACAGCATGCTTACGGAGGAAAGATTTTTTCCCCTTCCCCCCTGGACAATAGAAGAAATAAAAAAAGAACAAGACATTTAGAAATAAGGAGAAAAACCAGATGTTGTTAAATATAAGCATTGCGTGTCTTGAAGTGTGACCAAAGTGTAAGTAGGATACAAGATACCCTGTTTTCTGCGTGTTTTGAACAGAAAAAAAAACCAGCAATCCTACCCTCATCAAAAAAAAGTTACAGGTTTTTGTTTCACAGTCATCTGGCAGGACGGTAGTACTTCCCCGGGGGTTGCTGTCTACCAACCTACTACCTTCACAAATATTACCCTGCTCAACTCCAAAAGATCGTCAGGTCCCAAGTATATTTGTTCCATTCCTCCCCATCTAACACGTCATGCCGCTTGCGGAAGTCCAAGCCCCTACCCCAAAACCTCCTTTTCCCCCCCCTTTCCAACCCTTTGAGGACGACCCCCACCCCTCTTTCCTTCCCCCATAATTTATATGCTTTCCATGTCATTCTACTTTGTCCATTTTCTCTAAATGACCAAACCACCCCAAAAACCCCCCTTTTGCCCTCTGACTAATGCTTTTATTAACTCCACACCTTCTCCTAATTTCCACACTCCGAATTTTCTGCATAATATTTACACCACACATTGCCCTTAGACAGGACATCTCCACTGCCTCCAACCGTCTCCTCGCTGCTGCATTTACCACCCAAGCTTCACATCCATATAAGAGTGTTGGTACTACTATACTTTCATACATTTTTTATATTTTATTAATCCAAGAAACAAGGTAAAACTAATTTTTTTGCAATAATGAGTTTAAAATGAAGGGAATGTCTTTTATAGAAGACTGGGGACACGATTAATAAAAAGTTCCTAGGAAAGGGTGCTTTAGCGGATGGCACAACCACAGTTTTTATTTTGGACTGTTTTATATTGAAATTTTTTTTTTTTTTTTAATTTTGTAAAATTGGCCAAATTACCAACTTCTGTATGTATTATAGGGTAGTTGCGAGAGGCGAATGGGCACTGTGCAAAATTGATAGATCAGAAGGAATATTTGTAAAATAGCTTGGAATTTGAGTCGAAATGAGCAGTAGAATGGGCTTAAAATAGGACTCAAACTGAGTGAAAGTGCAATGTGCACATTGCATCAAGGCTGCCAACTTTGCACCTGTGTAATTCTACAATTTTCCAGCATTTCTTATGTCATTACCTTCAAAAAAAGATTTACTACCATTTCAAACAAGAAAATATGTAATTAAAAATCATAACACTATCAGCAATTTTTCAAGGTCCAAACCTCCAAGCTGAAATTTGTCCACAGGGTCCATCACAACTCCTAATATTCATCCGTGGCATCAACGATGAATTTAATGTCACACAAGAATTAGTAACAATGCATAGCATGCATAACACAAGAACCAGAGAAGACATCTTCAATAGTGAATTTCATTCGATTTCACTAATTTAATCATCGCCAGTTTCAAGATTTTCTGAAAAACTGATTCCGAGTTCATTGACTTGCCTTATTAAACAGCAGTCTGATGCCTTTGTTGTGGAAAGGTTCTGTCACAGTTCTTTCAGCTCAGAAAAGAAATAGATTAATTTCTCACAGAAGAATCGACCCAAACTACTTATCAAATGCTAACTGGCCTTGGAAATTTGAATTCTTTGCAGACGTGACAAGCCATATGAATCTACTGAATCTGAAGTTGCAAGGAGAAACAAATCTGATCTGTGATCTATTCACACATGTCAAGGTATTCAGGGCAAAACTGATACTATTTGAAGGGCAGGTGAAAGTTCCTAACTTGGTTCATTTCCCATATGAAAAGATTTCATGAAAGTGAAGCAGAATTTCCTTCTTTATTTGCAACAGAAATCATTAATGACTTGTAAAAACAATTTCAAATGGAAATTACTGATCTCAAATCAGATGACATGCTGAAAGAAAAGTATAAAGAAGGAAAGCTGATCCAATTTAATAAATCTTTACAGCCTGAACAGTTTCCAAATTTAATGAGATTTGTTTGTGAATTCGTATCACGGAGTTTGGTACAACATACCTTTGTAAACAAACATTTTAAAAAATGAAGTATGTCAAGTCCATATATCACACACATTTATCTGAAGTCCATTCTAATAATTAGCTCAAGCTTAAAACCTCAATTCAGCAATATTTTGAAATTAAAAGATTCCATCATTCCTATTAATCTTTTTTTTTTTTTTTTTTTTCAACAAGTCGGCCGTCTCCCACCGAGGCAGGGTGACCCAAAAAAGAAAGAAAATCCCCAAAAAGAAAATACTTTCATCATCATTCAACACTTTCACCACACTCGCACATTATCACTGTTTTTGCAGAGGTGCTCAGAATACAACAGTCTAGAAGCATAAACATATAAAGATACACAACATATCCCTCCAAACTGCCAATATCCCAAACCCCTCCTTTAAAGTGCAGGCATTGTACTTCCCATTTCCAGGACTCAAGTCCGACTATTAATCTTATGCAAATTAATCTTGTGTCAGATTTTCTTATCTGCAGTTCAATAATGGCTTATACTGTCAGAGCATTGGCTATGACATTTTTAGTCATCATATATCACTTCCCAGTGTAAGCATGGTATTGCTTCTTCATAACTGTCACATTTCTCTTCTGTTCTGAATCATAACATGCCAATTACAAAAAGGATCTAGATAACAATTATTCACTTAAATTTTACTCATTCATTTATATTTATAAGACTTGTTTTTTCTTTGGCCCACAAGCGAAAAGTTTGGAGACCCCTGCTCTAACACATTATGCAGTATGCACACCCTGTTTGATAATAGCTGCCACCTGGCACAAGTGTTATAAATGCATGTTAAATTAAGGAATTCACAGAACTTTTCCTTACCTAGATACTGGAGCAGGTGATGCTTCATGTTTGGGTGGAGTCTTCCAGCAGATATAGTGAGTATCACTCCCCAACAGGCACACCTCTTCTAACAACTGCAAACGAGTATTACTGAATCACTTACAGGAATTTACATCCCACCCCCCAAACATGATGGCCGTTTCACACTAAGGCAGGGTAACCCAAAAAAGAAAAACACCTTCACCATCATTCACACAATATCACCATCTTTACAATGGTGCTCAGATATGACAGTTTAGATGTCACTCCAAACAACATCTTTATTCTTCAAATCATAGATTACTTTTTTTTTTTAGTCGTGGAATCTATTTCATAGCATCTTTCATCATCATCTGGTGACAAATTTCTTATTAACCCTTTCAGAGTTTCGGCCGTACTAGTACGGCTTATGCACCAGGGTCTTTGGAAGTACACTAGTACACCTAAATTCTAGCGCCCTCAAATCTGTTGAGAGAAAGCTGTAAGCCTACATATGAAAGAATGGGTCTAGTGGTCAGTGTTCGCGGTATAAAAAAAACCCTGCAGCACACAGTGCGTAATGAGAAAAAAAAAAACTTGGACCGTGTTTTTGGATTAAAACAAGGGGCTTTGCACTGTTTTTCCGTATGGTATTTATTGTTGTATTCTAAGTTTTCCTGATCTCATTTTATAGAATGGAAGACATATTACAGAAATTGAGATGATTTTGACGGGTTTTACAAAGAAAACTACCTTGAAATTGTGCTCAAAGTAGCAGAAATGTTTGATTTTTCCCAAATAGTTCAAAAGTAAACAAATCATGCTATGCGTCCAATGGTGATCTAATATTCTTTCACAAGTGCGCTGAAATATTTTAAACCATATCTACACCAATGCAGTAGTCTGCATAACAGTAAATCTTCTATTTTTTTTGTGAAATAAAAATTCAAAGTGAAAAGAAAAAAGAATGTAAGAGGGGCAGGGGGACGTGACTAAATGAACACGGAAATGTTATTTTAGTGCCGGGAATGTCTTTGTTTTATTCTGGACCCTATTTGGAAATTGGCATCTTTTGAAGTGTGTGAAATTGGCAAAATTGCTAAATTCTGACCACTGTATTGGATAGTTGAAATCGGTAAATGGGTGGTTTCCTGTACTCATTCAAATAGAAAAAATTGGAGTTCTAGCGAAATAGTTATGATTTTTGTCGACAAGTACACTGGAATTGGCCGAAAATAGGGCTCAGAGTGGGCAAAATCGCCGATGCGTAAACATTGTTGAGATCGCTAACTCGCGAGAGCATAACTCCGTAAGTTTTCCATAAAATTTCATACTTTGGTGTCAATATGATCGGGAAAAGATTCTCCATCTTTTCATATTTTTTTTTTTTTTTTTTTTTTTTTTTTTTTTTTTTTTTTTTTGAAATTTTTGGGCCCACCCTGAGAAACAAGTCTCTGAGAAGGCCTGTCGCCCTGAAAGGGTTAATATTAGTCCCAATATCTCACAATTTTGTTTCACAATCTATATTCTTTGTGTGGTCTGATTTTGCTTTCTCCAATTTCCATTACATAACATTTTTTTTTATCAACATTAAATTATATTGCCCAACTGTCTCTATTTTCTCATTCAAAAAATTTTTTTGTAAAGACTTAAAGTATATTTTAATTATTTTGTACAAAGATTTTTACATTTGCATCTTAAAACAGTGGAACCCCAATTTTCAAACTTAATCCGTTGATCAGGCTCTGAAACCACCAGGAGGCCTGTTCACAGACCAGGCCGTGGGGGCGTTGACCCCCGGAACTCTCCGGGTAAACTCCAGGTTCCAGAAGGGCGTTCAAAACCAAAATGTGCAAAACTGAATCAATATTTCCCATAAGAAATAATGTAAATACAATGAATCCATTCCAGACACCCAAAAATATTCACAAAACATTCATTTTTTAAAGAATCTGACTACAGCTTATTTATCTATCACAATTGATCTAATATGACACAATACAGTGGGCCCCCGCCTTACGATATTAATCCGTTCCCAAGAGCTCATCATAAGCCGAAATTACCGTTAGTCAAATTAATCTTCCCCATAAGAAATAATGGAAATCAAATTAATCCGTTCCTGACACCCCAAAGTATGAAAAAAAAAAAAAATTTATCACATAAAATATTAATTTTAATACACACAAACTGAAGAAGACATGCACAATTACTGCTCTACTAAGAATAGAATACAGTGGACCCCCGCCTTACAATGGCATCGCGTTACGTTAAATCCGCCATACGATACATTTTAACGCAAAAATTTTGCCTCGCCTCATGTTAAAAAACTCGCCTCACGCGATTCGTCCGGGATGCGTCCCACGCGTGGCCTCAGCTGCCCTGTGCGTGCCAGTGTTTATATGCCAGCCAGTGCGGTAGCATCCACACATACATTCGGTACATTTCATATTATCACAGTGTTTTTAGTGATTGTACCTGCAAAATAAGTCACCATGGGCCCCAAGAAAGCTTCTAGTGCCAACACTGCGGGAAAAAGGGTGAAAATTACCATGGAAATGAAGAGAGATAATTGCTAAGTACGAAAAAAGAAGGGAAGTAACCCCGGAAAAGGACTTGATACCTCAAGTCCTAATGGAAGGGGATTCCCCTTCTAAACAATAACAACTTCCACACTCCCCTCCTCCCATTCCATCAATCATCACCAGATCTTCAATAGTGTCATGTATTGCATTCTTAGTAGAGTATTATATTTGTGCACGTCTTCTTAAGTTCGTGTGTATTAAAATTAATATTTCATGTGGTAAAAAAAAAAATTTCATACCTTGTGGTGTCTTGCACGGATTAATTTGATATCCATTATTTCTTATGGGGAAAATTAATTCGCCATACGATAATTTCGTCTTATGATGAGCTCTCATGAACGGATTAATATCGTAAGGCGGGGGTCCACTGTACATGACACTTACCTTTATTGAAGATCTGGTGATGATTGATGGGATGGGAGGAAGGGAGAGTGTGGAAATTATTGTTTAGAAGGGGAATCCCCTTCCATTAGGACTTGAGGTATCAAGTCCTTTTCCAGGGTTACTTCCCTTCTTTTAATGCCACTAGGACCAGCTTGAGTCACTGGACCTCTGTCGCATAACAAATCTGTCCATAGAGCTCTGTACCTCCCGTTCCTTTAAGACTTTCCTAAAATGGGCCATAACATTGTCATTGTACAGGTTGCCAACACGGCTTGCAGTAGCTGTGTCAGGGTGATTTTCATCCGTAAAGGTTTGCAGTTCAACCCACTTTGCACACATTTCCTAAATCTCTTTTCAATTCCATTCTACTTCTTGCCCTATTTACCACAGGGATGGCACTAGAAGCTTTCTTGAGGTCCATGGTGACTTATTTTGCAGTTACAAGCACTAAAAACATTGGGATAATGTGAAATGTACCGAATGTATGCGTAGATGCGACCACACTGGCTGGCTTGTAAACACTGGCGCTGATGCCACATGTGGGACGCGTCCCGGATGAATCACATAAGGAGAGTTTTTTTATCGTGAGGCAAGGCAAAATTTTTGCGTTCAATTGCTTCGTATGGCAGATTTAACGTAACACGATGCGTTTGTAAGGCAGGGGTCCACTGTATAAATAACAGAAACATGATATACACTCTAGAATGAATAAGATACGTCATTTACGTATGTGGAGTGGTGGTGGTGTTGAGTTTATAAGGGCCACTGACAGCATAAGCCGTACATATAGTGTTGGTGGTGGTGGCGGAGTTGTCAGTGGCCCTCTATACAGTAGGGCCCCACTTATACGGCAGGTTAGGTTCCAGGCTACCACCATAAAGTGGAACACCCTTTTTTTCCCCCTTATAAATGCATACAAATACTAGATAACAAGTTTACACTAACATATATTAAGTTAGCAATAGAACTAGGCATCAACAAACAATAAAAAAGTACAATACACACACAGTGCACTCATTACTTACCTTAAAATATTTATAGTTTTAAAAATGCAGTATTAGAATGTGGGGCAGAAGTTTGTGGTTATAGGAGGGTGGGGGCAGGAGGAAAGAGGAGTGATTGGTGGAATGATGAAGTAAAGGGTGTGATAAAAGAGAAAAAGGTAGCTTACGAGAGATTTTTACAAAGCAGAAGTGTTATAAGAAGAGCAGAGTATATGGAGAGTAAAAGAAAGGTAAAGAGAGTGGTGAAAGTGCAAAAGGAGAGCAGATGATAGAGTTGGAGATGCACTGTCAAGAAATTTTAATGAAAATAAGAAAAAATTTTGGAGTGAGTTAAACAAGTTAAGAAAGCCTAGGGAAAGTATGGATTTGTCAGTTAAAAACAGAGTAGGGGAGTTAGTAGATGGGGAGATGAAGGTATTAGGTAGGTGGCAAGAATATTTTGAGGAACTTTTAAATGTTAAGGAAGAAAGAGAGGCAGTAATTTCATGCACTGGTCAGGGAGATATACCATCTTTTAGGAGTGAAGAAGAGCAGAATGTAAGTGTGGGGGAGGTACGTGAGGCATTACGTAAAATGAAAGGGGGTAAAGCAGCTGGAACTGATGGGATCATGACAGAAATGTTAAAAGCAGGGGGTGATATAGTGTTGGAGTGGTTGGTACGTTGTTTAATAAATGTATGAAAGAGGGGAAGGTACCTAGGGATTGGCATGAAAGCATGTATAGTCCCTTTATATAAAGGGAAAGGGGACAAAAGAGACTGTAAAAATTATAGAGGAATAAGTTTACTGAGTATACCAGGAAAAGTGTACGGTAGGGTTATAATTGAAAGAATTAGAGGTAAGACAGAATGTAGGATTGCGGATGAGCAAGGAGGTTTCAGAGTGGGTAGGGGATGTGTAGATCAGGTGTTTACATTGAAGCATATATGTGAACAGTATTTAGATAAAGGTAGGGAAGTTTTTATTGCATTTAAGGATTTAGAAAAGGCATATGATAGAGTGGATAGAGGAGCAATGTGGCAGATGTTGCAAGTATATGGAATAGGTGGTAAGTTATTAAATGCTGTAAAGAGTTTTTATGAGGATAGTGAGGCTCAGGTTAGGGTATGTAGAAGAGGGAGACTACTTCCCGGTAAAAGTAGGTCTTAGACAGGGATGTGTAATGTCACCATGGTTGTTTAATATATTTATAGATGGGGTTGTAAAGGAAGTAAATGCTAGGGTGTTCGGGAGAGGGGTGGGATCAAATTCAAAATGGGAATTGACACAGTTACCGTTTGCTGATGATACTGTGCTTATGGGAGATTCTAAAGAAAAATTGCAAAGGTTAGTGGATGAGTTTGGGAATGTGTGTAAAGGTAGAAAGTTGAAAGTGAATATAGAAAAGAGTAAGGTGATGAGGGTGTCAAATGACTTAGATAAAGAAAAATTGGATATCAAATTGGGAAGGAGGAGTATGGAAGAAGTGAATGTTTTCAGATACTTGGGAGTTGATGTGTCAGCGGATGGATTTATGAAGTATGAGGTTAATCATAGAATTTATGAGGGAAAAAAGGTGAGCGGTGCGTTGAGGTATATGTGGAGTCAAAAAACGTTATCTATGGAGGTAAAGAAGGGAATGTATGAAAGTATAGTAGTACCAACACTCTTACATGGGTGTGAAGCTTGGGTGGTAAATGCAGCAGCGAGGAGATGGTTGGAGGCAGTGGAGATGTCCTGTTTAACCCTTTGACTATTTTCGACGTATAAATACGTCTTACGAGCCAATGTTTCTGACGTATATATACTCAATAATTCTAGCGGCTTCAAATCAAGTGGGAGAAAGCTGGTAGGCCCACATGTGAGAGAATGTGTCTGTGTGGTCAGTGTGCACCACATAAAAAAAATCCTGCAGCACACATTGCGTAATGAGAAAAAAAAAAACTGATCGTTTTTTTGGAATAAAACGCCGACTTTGAGGTGTATTTTCGTATAGTATTTATCATTGTATTCGCGTTTTCATGGTCTTAGGTGATAAAATGGAAAACATATTACAGAAATAGAGATGATTTTTATTACTTTTACGATGAAAACGACCTTGAAACTAAGCTCAAAGTAGCGAAAATGTTCGATTTTTACCAATGTTGAAGAGTAAATAAATCACACCACACGTCCAATACACGTCAAACTAGGGAGTCTAATATTCTTTCACAGTGCACTGATATTATTATACCATTTTTACAATAATGCAGTCGTCTGCATAACAGTAAATTTTGTATTTTTTTGTATGAATAAAAAATCAAAATAGAAAGCAATAATAATATAAGAGGGGCCTAGAGATGTGACTAATGAACAGAGCATATGTTATTTAGTGCCATGAATGTCTACCTTGTTTATTCTGGACCCTATTTTGAAATTGGCATCTTTTTTATTTTGCGTGAAATTGGCCAAATTGCCAATTTCTGACCACCATATTGGGTAGTCCAAATTAGTAAATGGGAGGTTTCTTGTACTCAGCTGATAGATAAAATGGAGTTCTAAGAAATAGCTATGAGTTTGGTCAACTGGAAACAATGGAATTGGCTGAAAATTGGGCTCAAAGTCGGCGAAATCGCCGATACGCATTATGTCGCCGAGACCGCTAACTTCGCGGGACCATAATTCCACGAGTTTTCGACCAAATTTCGAACTTTTGGTGTCATTACCATCGGGAAAAGATTCTCTATCATTTCATAAGAAAAAATAATTTTTTTTTTTTTCAAAAATTGAGCGACATAGAATGACAGTTTCAGAGAGGGGCCTGAAACAGTCAAAGGGTTAAGGGCAGTGTGTGGTGTAAATATTATGCAGAAAATTCGGAGTGTGGAAATTAGGAAAAGGTGTGGAGTTAATAAAAGTATTAGTCAGAGGGCAGAAGAGGGTTTGTTGAGGTGGTTTGGTCATTTAGAGAGAATGGATCAAAGTAGAATGACATGGAAAGCATATAAATCTATAGGGGAAGGAAGGCGGGGTAGGGGTCGTCCTCAAAAGGGTTGGAAAGAGGGGGTAAAGGAGGTTTTGTGGGCAAGAGGCTTGGACTTCCAGCAAGCGTGCGTGAGCGTGTTAGATAGGAGTGAATGGAGACGAATGGTACTTAGGACCTGACGATCTGTTGGAGTGTGAGCAGGGTAATATTTAGTGAAGGGATTCAGGGAAACCGGTTATTTTCATATAGTCGGACTTGAGTCCTGGAAATGGGAAGTATAATGCCTGCACTTTAAAGGAGGGGTTTGGGATATTGGCAGTTTGGAGGGATATGTTGTGTATCTTTATATGTGTATGCTTCTAAACTGTTGTATTCTGAGCACCTCTGCAAAAACAGTGATAATGTGCGAGTGTGGTGAAAGTGTTGAATGATGATTAAAGTATTTTCTTTTTGGGGATTTTCTTTCTTTTTTGGGTCACCCTGCCTCGGTGGGAGACGGCCGACTTGTTGAAAAAAAAAAAATGTATATTAACGTAATATACGACATTTAAAACCCTTAAATGGTCCAAACGTATATATACGTTTTTTTTCAACATTTGAAAGTATGTAAAAAAATGTAGATTTTTTTTTTCACTTGAAAATGTGTAAAAATCTTTTATCTACATTTGTTTTTTTATGATCAAAAATATGTAAAAAAAAACGTAGATCTACGTTTGGAGCAATACGGATTTGAACGTCGATCTGTTTGGACCATTTAAGGGTTAATGAGACTCGATTATTATCATTACTAATATGACATCTCAAGACATAAGACACTCTTACTGATTTTAATGTGTACCTGCATGCCAGCACAGTATGTATGTTTATTTAGGTACAGGTATACATAAGTATAATTATCAGAGTATATATAAATATGAAATAACTATTAAAAACACTTGAAATTTTGTGGTTTCCAGACATAATGGAGAGACTTAGTGCTTGGATCTCACAGAGAATGTAAACAAACAGGGTGGGGCACTGTGACCGTATTAGAAAGTCAGGTGGGGGGAGCTGTATAGCGAGTTTTGGTCATAATTTGAAATGACCGTATTAGCGGAACGCCATAAAGCAAAACGCCATACAGCAGGGCCCTACTGTACCTCAAACTACATTGCAATGGAGGAGTCAGTTTTGTGTCGTCACTTTCTACTCGCTTAATTGCTTAACTTACTTGCTACACTGTTAGTGCTCCACTTCATAACTGGCTGGTGCTATAGCCTTTATCGGCTCCTGCTGCTTTAGTATCGTACGTATCATAGAATCACTGAAGAAGGCACATTCTCCCCTTTCTCTCAGCCCTTTACCAAAGGGCTGGCTGGCACTAGGAACTTTCTTTGGGCCAATGGTGGCTTATTTCGCAGTCACAATTAATAAACAAGCACGTAAAACAAGGGATCATTATGAAATGTTTTGGAATGTGCGAGGTAATGCTCACTCAACGAGTGACAGAGGCACAGACACTTAGTGGTGGCGTCCCTGGGTGGGCGGACGCGTATAATACATCCGATTACCGGATCAAGGTCCGATATCTGGAGCAAAATTTCGCACAAAAAACAATTCTAAAACCAAATCCTCTAATAACTGGGGCATGTGAAAACCAGGGTTCTACTGTATATCAGTTTTACAAAAGGCATCTCCCTCAAAAGCTTGGCAAAAGCTTCCAATTACTGTATTATTACACTACAGTACATTAAAAACTTCATATCCATTCGAATCATTCAGCACCATTTAATTTTCCATCTAATTTTTGCACAACTATAATACAGCTGTCATTTTACTCAGGACAGATTCCAGTGAAACTGCCAGTATACTAAAGACAATAAGGTATACCATCAAGAACACATACTGTACGTGTGCACAGTAAATGCCTTTGTGTAACCGGATGTAACACTTGATCGTACAAAATAAAACAGTCAGAGTTCATGGAAAATATACCTGTATACAAGGCGTTTCCAAAAGCACGTAAATTTGTCTACTTTGGCAAAGATGAAAGTTCATGAAAACAGTGGGAAAATCTGGGACAATCCTTTTATGATCCAGTTTGTTGAATTTTAGAGCTTAATGCATAAAGGTGGGACTAGGAATAGATAACTACAAACTGGGTGAAGAAAAGTAAAAACTGCTATAAAGTTATAAAAATGTAATGTACATCTCCAGAAAGATTGTTGTGCTAAAAGTGACAAAATAAACAATTGGTTACTTACTTTAACAATGGCCTTCATGGCTTGGGCTTTGAGACTAGGCTGGTGCCTCATTAATTCATCCATTGCATTGCCTAAATTCGAGGCAGTATCACCCATTGGATCCGAAGAGCGACGCCGTCTCATGGCTGGTAGATAGTCAGGGGAGAGAAGCACCTTGAAGAGTCGCTCAAATGGCTTACATGCCACAAAAGCAGCAAGACCCCGAGAATTGAGGCATAGGGCACTGAAAACATTAGGAAGGGAACCCAACACCTCTCTTGTGGCTGGCACCTGAAAAGTGTACAAGAATTTTTAAGATTATAGATAATCTATCCAAGTATGCAAGTCCAAGTTCTAACCATAAATTTGTCATTACAAATAAGGCAAATTAATACAAAAATCAATTTTTACATATACTAGAAGGATCCAGGAAAGCTTAATGGCATCCTATGCTCTGTTTACTCTAAACCTGACACCATTAGAGTAAATAAACATTAGTTTATTTACTCTAATGGTGTCACTTTCCATCTGGAATGCCATTATTCAAGAGCAGTGTTTTTATCTGAAAGTAGTATAGATGCTATGGAGGAAAAAAGAAAATACCTGGTGGGACATAATGCAAGTAGTACTTTATGGGCTTTCTAGAAAAATGTTGTCATTCAACACCCCATCACCACCAATATACAAAACTGAATAATTTAAGAATTAGGGATGGAACAATATAAAAAATTTTGCCAAAACAGATGTCATTAAAATTAGTCAACACTGATAAAGATATTTTGCAACATCCAAGAATAATCATCATTACACAATGTCATTACTCACACTATCAGTTCTCATGACACTTATTGCTATCACCACTACCCAACATTGTTACAACTACCACCATTATTGCTACCCTATTATCCATCAAAACAACTATTCAATAACATTACCTCAGTAATCATTACAATCAACCACTACACTGACAATAAAATAACTCAGTTTTGAAAGTAATCACTTCACAATACAGAATTCACTAAGTGTATAATTATTCAAAACTATCAAAATACTTACATCCTTTACCAATAGTGCATGGAGTACAACATCTGTTAATCCATTATCCTGAAGAGATGACAACAAGGATGGTTCTCCGAACACATACACAGTGACTACATCTGTTGCTAGCAGAAACAGTGAAGCTCCATAATATTCTGCATTACTGATTATGTGTTTAAGGGATGCAGGGAGGGAACCTTCCATCAAATGACGCATGCTTTCACTAAAACCAGGCTCTTGGATAGCTTTCTTCAAAAAGTTGAGCATAGACTTCACAAGAGCAGCCCTCTGTGGCAAGCAAGATAAACCAGTCTTTGCTTCACTATAGTCTGGCTGGGATGTAGTTGGTATTTCCATTGCAGCTGAAGTGCTAGGCCGAGTATTATAAGAGGGCTGACTTGTGGTAATTTCCAATTCACTTGAGCCATCAGATACAGGGGCAGGAGTTGTGTCCATGGGTGAGTGTGTAGCAGTGTCAGGCACTTGTGTTGATTCTGTTGTGCCAACAGGTTCTTCCACAGTAGCTGTTGCCTGGTCTGCGTCAGCAGGAGCGCTTGCAATTTCTGCTAGAGGAGCTGGCAAACTTATTACAAATGGCTGTTCCTTCCTACACTCATCCACTTCCACCTGAGAGCAAAGAAAATGCACTAAATGTATTATGACCATGTTTATTTTTAAAGCTACCATATGCATTTGCAATCAAGCTGAATAAAATATAAGACATACAGCAGGCATGTGTGAGCATGTTAGATAGGAGTGGGTGGAAACTAATGGTTTTAAGGACTAACGAGCTGTTGAAGTATGAGAAGGGTAATAGTTTGAGAAGGGATTCAGGGAAACTGATTAGAACATAAGAGAGAAGGAACACTGCAGCAGGTCTACTGACCCATGTGAAACAGGTCCACCCCCCCAGATTAGCCCAATGACCCACCTAATCAGATCACTTCCACTTAACCCTTTGAGGGTTTCGGATGTACTAGTACGGCTTACATGCAGGGGTTTTTGACATACTATAGTATGCATAAATTCTAGCGCCGTCAAATCTCGCGGGAAAAGGCTGGTAGGCCTAGATGCGAGAGAATGGGTCTGTGTGGTCGGTGTGCGCGGTAGAAAAAAAAACTGGGACCCAGTGGTGCATTGTGGGAATGCCATCTTAGTACACAATGTCCACCATGCCTCGCGGTAAGAAGTTCCTCACTCCTCGGCGAACTGGGGCACTTTTGTTCCCCAGTGACAGTTCTAATACAGATGGAAGTGCCATTGAAGATGAGTTTCAAGGTTTTGGTGAGGTTTTGACCGAAACTAATGACCATAATATCGGTAATAGTGAGGAAAACCCAGACGACCCTCAGCCTTCCACCTCTGGTGCTGGGTTGTCTTGTTCACATTCAGTTGTACCAGAATCAAAGAGGAAACTCCTATTTTCCCAAATCCCAGACTCAGATGTGAGCATTTATGATGATAGTGATAGTGATTATGAACTACATGCTCTTGAAAACAGTTCCAGTAGTGATAGTGAAGTGGAATATTCCCCAGTGAAGCGTCAGTATATACGACGATATATGCGCTCTGGTAGTGTGCCATATGCTATTCCAAGGGGAAGGAGTACATCTGAGTACATCCCGTGGCTGTACAACAGGAACAGTGAAAATGACGACGATAGTGTTGCAATTGGGATGGAAAATGTGCATGGTGGTGGTAGTGGTGGTGACGGCTGTGAGGCACCAGCAGTGGGCCATGCTGCCACCCACGCCGCTGCCTCAGTTGATCTACAACAAAGGCCACCATCCCCCACCCACCCACCACACCAGCCTCCACAACCACAACCACCTGTCATTGTCCAGTACTCACCAGCAGACCACACCTGGGATTGGCAGGAAGCTGTCAATTTTGTTCCAAATGCCCACCAGTTTGATGACAGACAAAGTGGAATACGGCCATCTTGTATACTTGGGAACAATGCCACTGAACTGGAATGTTTCGAGTTATTCTTTGACGAACCCCTGATCGAAAGTAGTCATGGAAAGCAACATATACTACGAGTACACCATGGCAAACAATACTTTTACCAAATTCACGTCTACACCAGTGGAAGGAGGCAACTGTGGCTGAGATGTATCTTTTCTTTGCCACAATAATGCTTATGCCACATGTGTATAAGCACAAAGTGAAATCATACTGGTCAACAGACCGCCTGATTGCAACCCCAGGTTTCAGCGATATAATGCCAGCGAATCGATTTGTGCTAATGTTACGTATGCTTCACTTCTCAGACAAAACCAGGCCTGACAGAAACGACAGGTTATATAAGATTAGGCATGTGTGTGTATCTGAAAGAGAAATTCAATATGTATTTTTATCCCTTCAGGAAGCTTGTAATTGACGAGTCTTTGATTCTGTTCCAAGGAAGACTTTTTCAAGCAGTACATACCAAGTAAGAGAAAACGCTTTGGTATAAAGTTGTTTGTGCTTTGTGATTGTTACAGTGGTCTGGTATTGGATATTATTGTGTACACTGGAAGTTACACATTGCAAAATACAAAGAAGTTATTGGGAATCTCTGGTGATGTGGTTAGAACAATGATAGAACCATACCTTGGTAAGAGGCATATATTATATACTGGTAACTGGTACACAAGCCCCTCACTCAGTGATTTTTTGCGAGTGAACATGACAGATGTGTGTGGCACAGTGCGTGCAAATCGGAAACATATGCCCAGGTTTGACGCTGGCACTTGTAGAGGCGAGGTGCAGGCGTTTGCTGCCAATGACATCATGGCATTTCGGTGGCATGACAAACAAGATGTCACACTGTTGTCATCAGTTCACCCTAATGAAATGGCAGACACTGGCAGGCAGCATAGAGAGAGCAATGAACCCATTCTAAAACCTGCAGCTGTGATTGATTACACCTGCAATATGCATTCACTGGACAAATGTGACATGCAGATTGGGTTTGCTGATTGTGTTCGCAAGAGCTATAAGTGGTGCATAAAACTCTTTTTCCATCTTCTGGACACTTCCATGCTCAACGCTTATAATATGTATAAGATGAGGACCAGAAACAAACCACAATACGACGAATTCTGTTTGTCTGTCACCAGACAAATAGTATTCAAGTACCAAGGGAGAACACCTGCAATAGACCGCCCACCAAATTATCAACAACTACCTTCTCGTCTGAAGCATGGTGATCACTTCCTGGTAAAACTGTCTGCTACTGCTTTCAAGAAAAAGGCTCAGAAGAGGTGTTACATCTGTGCACATACAAGGAAACGCCCACAACAATGCAGAGACACTCGTTTATGTGTGAGGAGTGTAAAACACTACTGTGCATGACACCATGTTTCAAAGACTTCCACAGGCTGCAGAACTTTTAGAAACATTCCCTGTGACTGTATACGTGTATATAAAATATAGAAAAATAATAATAAACAACATTTCATATCATTTGTGTAAATATTTTTTTATAAACAAAACAATGACAACAGTGTTTACGCCCTTATTGTTTTTTTTTTTTATTATCACACTGGCCGATTCCCACCAAGGCAGGGTGGCCCGAAAAAGAAAAACTTTCACCATCATTCACTCCATCACTGTGTTGCCAGAAGGGTGCTTTACACTACAGTTTTTAAACTGCAACATTAACACCCCTCCTTATTGTGTAGTATTGAAAAAGAAAAAACTTACAAAATACTGATCATATTGGTCTCACAGGCCATAAAAGTTACTTGGAAAAAGAAAAAACTAAAAAATAATGGAAATTAGTACATAAGAAAGTAAATAAAAGAATACCGGGAGACGGCAGTTGGCGATGTTGCCACATTGTCCCCCTTTCTCATTAACTTCACGCCTCCATATCTCGGTAAGTATTGATGGTAAAAAATTTTTGTTTAGCCTATAATATAAAAAAAAAACTTTTTTCATAAGAAAAAATAATTTTTTTTTTTTTTTGAAATTTGGCCGACCCTGAGAATGAATCTCTGAGAGGACCTGTCAACCCTCAAAGGGTTAAGGAGCACCGCATCAGACCTAGTAGCACAAGCTAGTCAGGTCCAACTCACACCCACTCGTGTATTTATCTAACCTATTTTTAAAGCTACACAACGTTTTAGCCTCAATAACTGTACTCGGGAGTTTGTTCCACTCGTCCACAAATCTATTACCAAACCAGTGCTTTCCTATATCCTTCCTGAATCTGAATTTTTCCAACTTGAAACCATTGTTGCAAGCTGGACTCCTTGTACTCAAGTACTAAAGGTGGGAATTACAATGCCTCAACTTTAAGGGAGGGGTTTAGGATATTTGCTGTTTTAAGTGACATCCGAACTGTCATATCTGAATGTGCCTCTGCAAAGGCAGTGTTTGTGTGTGAATGGTTTTTTTTTTTTTTAGGGAAGGGGGGCTTGACTGCCAGTGGTGAGGAAAAAAAAATTACTGCAACAGATATTACAAAATTGGCATTTTACTTACCTCTAGTCTTCTTATAAAGGCTGAGAGTCCTCCATGAGTTTGGAAGGCATGCATGTCAAGATTTGTTATGAGGTCAATTACTCTCACAGCCCTTGTTACAAACTGTAAGAAAAATAATTACTTAGTTGAAAGTTATGAATGAACATTCCTTAATATACTAAGTTTTAAAAGGATGTTTATCTCCAATGTAGTCCAAATGTGCAACAATTTCCATGATTTAAAAGTGTATTTCTCAGTTGGCTTTCTGTTACATTAAGAACTCGCTTCCTGATGGAGTAACACCATAAGGATCTTCCACTCATTCCAGTATACACCAGCTAAATTTATAACAGTACTAATTCTTGCCAGACTGACCAAATATCTCGGTCAATTTTAGGCAGTGCAGAAAACTAAAGCTTTCAAAACTATACTTGGAAAGGAAAAAATCTTGTAGCTTAAATTTTTTGAAAGAGCTATAAACAAAACAAGCAAAAATATTAGAAATTACCGTAATATGATCCGGTTCAGTGCCTTTCCAATTGACAACAGAGATTAGGGACTCCATCATGCCACATGAGACAAGAGCTTCACCCCCTGCTTCATAACTGGCAAGATGATACAGGAACGAGAAAAGTGCAGTGGCCAGAGGTGCAGGGAAAGGGTTAGGCACCGGAGGTGTTGTGGATGTCAAATTGGCAATACATGATCTGACCAACACTGGCAGAAACCCATGGTAAGACGAGGCACCTGTTACATCTATAATAGTGTTCAATCTGGAAAAAAAAATTATCAATTTATATAAATATATACTATAATGATGAACCTATTGACATCACTAACATATTTCTTTCACAAAACTGTAGTGAACATTTAATACTTAAAAAAAAAAAAAAAAAAAAAAAAAAAAAATGAGCATTAACACTCCAAGTACAACAATATTCAGCACGTGTGTATTTAATGAATTTGCATTATTGCAGAAGAAAGTAGCAAAAGCTTTTATAAGTTTATCACTTAAAGAATGACAAGTAAAAATGACAAATGTAGCCAAGTGTTGAGAAGGCGGGACCTTCCAACAGTGAATACTGGCGAATAAGAGTGGGGGTAGGCACGATTTGGCAGGTATGGAGGGAAAGACATGTTAAAGACAGGATTGAAAGGGTAAAAGGAGGGATGAGGAAAGAAGATTAAAGGAAGCAATGAGGGGGAGAAGAGGGAGGGGGGATCACAGAAAAGGTTAGCAGCGGTAGGGGCAGGACACAATACACCACAACGTTTCTTAGTATGGTAGAATTATGCAATGGATTATATAAGGAGGTATCAAATGAGAACAAACGGAAATTTAATTAAATTTTATAACACTGAGGGCAATGTGTGGTGTGAATATAATGCAGAGAATTCGTAGTTTGGAAGTTAGGAGGAGGTGCGGGATTACCAAAACTGTTGTCCAGAGGGCTGAGGAAGGGTTGTTGAGGTGGTTCGGACATGTAGAGAGAATGGAGCGAAACAGAATGACTTCAAGAGTGTATCAGTCTGTAGTGGAAGGAAGGCGGGGTAGGGGTCGGCCTAGGAAGGGTTGGAGGGAGGGGGTAAAGGAGGTTTTGTGTGCGAGGGGCTTGGACTTCCAGCAGGCATGCTTGAGCGTGTTTGATAGGAGTGAATGGAGACAAATGGTTTTTAATACTTGACGTGCTGTTGGAGTGTGAGCAAAGTAACATTTATGAAGGGATTCAGGGAAACCGGCAGGCCGGACTTGAGTCCTGGAGATGGGAAGTACAGTGCCTGCACTCTGAAGGAGGGGTGTTAATGTTGCAGTTTAAAAACTGTAGTGTAAAGCACCCTTCTGGCAAGACAGTGATGGAGTGAATGATGGTGAAAGTTTTTCTTTTTCGGGCCACCCTGCCTTGGTGGGAATCGGCCGGTGTGATAAAAAAAAAAAAAAAAAAAAAAAAAAAAAACACTAAATGCAGAGGACTGCACATCACAGCTTGGCTCTTTAGAAAACTGGCAAAGCACAAACAGTGAGGTAAGACCGACTGCAGAAGGCTATTGTACAATGTTTCACTATAAATGGGCATTATCGAGTACATCAGTGTCTTACTCGCCAAGCTTAGCTCTGCTCCCATAGATACAAATAGATTAACACTTAATAAAAGTAGCAGCACTCACTTGGGGAAGCTGGGCATACGATCTAGATGTATTATGGATGTAAGAGTACGGAGGGTGGCAGCCTTGATTTCTGTGAGTTTGGTGTCATTTAACTCCAATACCTCTACAAACTCATCAAGAAGCCCCGAATACAAAACTGTATTAGCATTATCCTGTAAAGTAAAGAGTTTTGTAGCACTATTAATTAAAACAAGAGGCAGAAGAAACAGACTGAGAATCAGAGTATTCTAGTATCATAATACTGTTCAATATGACTAAACAGCAAGTCATTTAAGAGCAATATCAAATTTGCGCAGTGAAAATCATCACATTAAGTGTTGGCAAGCTCTGCCACTCCTCACCAACCTAAATCTTAAGGAGGCACAGATGAATACTTGTGTTAATTTCCATTACAAATTTTATATACTGGCATTTAGAGCTTAACACTCCAGCAAGTAAGTGGAATCAACCTTTCACAAGACCTGTATACTGTAAAACAAAAAATTTATGTATTTTTTTATTGGCTTGTCAAAACTGTACTTCCTACAAATCAAAGCAAAAATAAATATTTCCCACATCTTCACTTTCCCCTTCATTCAGTAAATTGTTAGCCCACCATTCTATTGCTTTGTACTGCAGTGGCATACCTTTCTTACATGCCTATAATCAGTAACCCTCTACTACTACTACTATTACCACCCTACACCATAAGCTGCTCTATATACTTCGCTATTACTTACTCACTGATACCCAATTCAATACCATCAAAATTAGGCAACTCACTGATGCCAATACTTTGGAACACCCCTTGTATAGTACCCCCAATTATCAGTGACTGGCATCATAATAAATACAAACCTGCAATGCATTGCAGTACACAAGCACAGACAGGGCCTGTAGTCGGGCTTGAACACACTGCAATCTAGTTTCAAATGACCCAAAACTATGAGCTAATCTTATATGAGTAAACAGGACCATCTGTAATAAAAAAATACTACAATTAATTTCATTACACTAAATTTTAACCAATGACAGTATTCTGGGAAACTGGTTATCCAGACTAGAGGTGAGAAGGGAAGTTCCTGCACTCAGGAAGGGCAGGGATTTTTACCTGATAATGAATCAAGATGCTTATCTGTCAACCTAATGAGCCTTTATCTTGTTAAATAATTTTAAACATCCAGAGTCCCTTGCCTAATATTTTAAATAGTGTACAACAGCAAAGATTATTTTGTTATAATACTTAGAAAATTATTTTTGACACCGATATACAGAAGATGAATACATGAGAATGCATTCCTCACCTGTTTCTCAATAGGCACTTTGTACACCTGCAAAAGCTCCTCCATCACCTGTGCTGGCGACTTGTTGATATTTTGCATGTCGTTTATGTGAATAGTAATTATAGAGCTATTTCCTCTATTACTGCTGCATCCACTACCACTGCTACTTATTCCCTCCCCTGATGGTTGCTGCTGCTGTTGCTGATGTTCTCCATAAAATTCATAATGAAGAGCAGTAGCATTTTCTGGAAAAGCCTGAGAAAAATAAATAGTGAATATGTATCTTATGAAAATGTTATACTAATTCATAAATTAATAAAAGCTAAATAACTGTTTAAAATTCCATTATACATCAACTTACAGACAGGGGAAGATTTTGACAACACTGTGCAAGGCCAAACCCATTGTCCTTTCCCCCCCATGGCTCTGCCAAGTTGACGAGTCGCAGCAAGAGGGCTTGCCGAGGTGCTACTGCTAGACGTGTGATGAAATTGGACCTGTAAAAAAAATTAAAAAATTTACTCTTTCACTTAAAATTTAAAAAATGGAACACCCAAAAATAAAAAAAACGAAATAGTACATAACTTTAAAATTGAATGCTTTTTTTAACGCTGTAAAGGGGTAAAATCAACAAAAAATTTAACCCCAAAACATACTTTTAAAAAAATCTGGCAAAAATTAAGTTTATTTGTTTGTTATATGTTATTTAGTTAATAGTTAAATAGTAGTAGTAATAGTTAGTAAGTATTTTAAAATAATTAAGTTATAGTTGAGTAAGTTAGTATAGTATAGTAAGTTAATAAGTAAGTATAATTGTAATGTAGTAGTAGTAATAGTAAGTAAATAATTTTGTTTTAGGTAAGTAATATGTATAGTAAATTGTAGTAATTAGTTTTAGGGAGTAAGTAAATTAAAAGTATTAAGTAAGTTTAAGTATTTGTTTAGTGTAGTAAGTTTAGTAATAGTTATAGGTTAGTATTAGTAATTAGTAAGTTAGGTAAGTTTATAGTTAGTTAGTAAGTAAGTAAATTAGTAAGTTAGTTAATATTATATTAGTAAGTAGTAAATAATTGTTAAGTAGAGTTAATATTATAGTTTAGTAAGTAAATTTTAGTTATTAGTTAAATAAGTAATTAAGTAAGTAGTTAGTTGTTTAATAGTATAATTAGTTAAGTTAGTAGTAATTAGTATTTAGTATAAGTAGTAATTTTGTAATTAATAGTAATAAGTATTAAGTTAGTAAGTTTTTAAATAAGTAATTTTAATAGTATAGTAGTAGTTATAGTATTTATAGTATCGTAAGTAAGTAGTAATATATAGTAAGTAAGTAGTATAGGTATATTAGTAAATAATTATGTAAATTAGTGGAGTTTAGTTATAGTTTGAATTGTAATAGTTTAATAAGTTAGTTAAGTAGTATAAGTAAGTAGTAAGTATAGTTTTTAAATTTAAATAAGTAATATATAGTAAGTAGTAGTATTATTAAGTAGTTAAATTAAGTATTAATAGTAGTAGTATAGTAATTAGTAATAGTTAAATATTAGTTATAGTAATTAATTATTAGTAATAGTTATAGTAAGTATAGTAATAGTTATATAGTTGTTTAAATTATAGTTATAAATAAGTTATGTAATAGTAAGTAAGTAAGTTATGTAATTAGTATAGTAAATAATTAAGTATAGTTAAATTTTAGTAATATTTTAGATAGTAATAGTATAGTTTAGTAAATAATTTTATTAAGTAGTTAGTAATAATAATTAGAATTAGTATTGGAAGTAAATAATATGTAATTAGTAAGTTAAGTAAGTAGTAATTTATTAGTAGTAAGTAAATAAGTTATAGTTATTTAAGTAGTAAGTAATAGTTAATTATAGTAAATTTAGTAATAGTTTAGTAGTAGTAAGTATTGTATTATAGTATTGTAGTAGTAGTAAGAATTATTAGTATAGTAAGTAGTATAGTATTATAGATAGTATTATAGTATAGTAGTAGTATAGTATATAGTATAAGTAGAAGTATAGTATTATAGTATAGTAGTAGTAAAATAATTATTATAGTATATAGTAGTAAGTATTAGTAATTACAGTGTTAGTAGTGGTATGGTAATTATAGTATAGTAGAGTAGTATAGTAGAATAGTAGTAGTAGTATGTATTATAGTAATAGAGTATATAGTATATTAGTAGTATAGTATAGTAGTGAGTGATAGGTAAGTATAGTAGTAGTATAATATATCTATAGTATAAGTAGTAGTATAGTATAGTATATAGTACAGTAGTATAGTAGTAGTAGTATAGTATAGTAGGATAGTAAAGTAGTAAAGTATATTAGTATAGTATGTAGTACATACAGTAGTAGTAGATAGTATATAATAGAATATAGAAGTATAGTAAGTAGCAGTAGTATAGTAAGTAGAATAAGAAAGAATAGTATAGTAGTATAGTATAGTAGTACATATAGTAGTAGTAGTATAGTAGTAGTAGTATAGTATAGTAGTATAGTTTAGTAAAATATAGTAGTATAGTATAGTAGTAGTATAGTATAGAGTATAGGTATAGTAGTAGATAAGCAAAGTAGTACCTAGAAGTAGTAGTATTGAGTAGTACAGTATAGTAGTAGTAGTATTATATAAAGTATAGCAGTACATATAGTAGTAGTATAGTATAGGCAGGTCACATAAGTAGTAAGTAGTATAGAATAGTAGTACATCTAGTAGTAGTAGTATAGTAAAGCAGCAAGAAAAAGTAGTGTATTATAGATAATAACAATAAAGTAGTATAACCTAAAATAGTAGTATTATAAAGTAGTAGTAGTAGAAAAGTAATAGTAAGTATAAGTAATACTATAGTAGTATAGTAATAACTAATAGTTAGTATTAGTAATACTCTAGAAGTATAGTATAGTATAAATTTAGTATAGTTAGTATAGTAATAGTAATATTTAGTACATGGAGTAGTAGTAGTATGTATGGTAGTATAGTATAGCAGTAGTATAGAATTATATATTATAGTTATTATAGTATAGTAGTAAGTAGTAGTATAGTATAGATAGTAATAGTATAGTATAGTATATAGTATAGTATCGTATTATAGTAATAGTAGAATAAGAATAGTAAGTAGTACAGTATTATAGTATAGTTAGTATAGTTTATAGTATAGTATAGTATACGTATAAGTAGTAGTATAGTAGTATAGTATAGAATAGTAGTATTAAAGTAGTAGTAAGTAATAGTAGTACATATAGTAGTAGCAGTATAGTATAGTAAGTAGTAATATATAAGTACATATAGTATAGTGGTATAGTATCGCAGAAGTATATAGTAGTACATATAGTAGTAGTGGTATAGTATAGCATAGTATAGTAAGCCAGTAAACATATAGTAAATAGTGAGTAGTAACATTAGTAGTAATAGTAGTAGTAGTATAGTAGTATATATAGTATAAAATAGTATAGTAGTACAAATAGTAGTAGTATAGTATAGTATAGTATAGTATAGTAGTATAGTAGTAGTATAGTAGTATAGTAGTATATAGTAGTAGTAGTCGTAGTATAGAATCAGTAGTAGTAGTAAAGTAAAAGTAGTAGTAGTAGTATAGTAATATTTATAAGTAAAGTATAGCCGGTAGTAGTAATAGTATTATAGTATAGTACAATATTATAGTAGTCAGTAAGAGTAGTAGAAGTAAATTCATATATAATAATAATCCAAAATAATAGTAAATTAGTAGTATATCTATTGTAGTATTATAGTATTAAAGAATATAGTAGTAGTAAAGTAATATAGTATAGAATACGTTATAGAATTATAGTATATTCTAGTCTAGTATTTATATATAGTAGGAATAATATGTATTATATATAGTATATACAAGTATCATATAATCTAGTAGTATTATAGTATTAAAGTATAGTAGTAGTAGTCTAGTATTATGTATAGTCTTAGTAGTAGTAACAGTATTACATTATAGTAGTAGTAAAGTATTATAGTATAGTAGAAAGTATTATAGTATAGTATAGTATCGAAGTATAGTAGTAATCGTAAGTAGTAGAATAGATAGAAGAAAAAGTATTAGTAAGTATAGTAATTTATAGTATAGAAGTATGTTATAGAATTATAGTAACAGTAGTAGTAGTATAGTATTATAGTAAGTAGTAGTAGTATAGTATTAAGTAAGTCGTTAAGTAATAGTATAGTATAGTAAAGTATATCGTAGTAAGTAATAGTAGTATAGTATAGTATATATATATGTATATAGGCATAGTAGTAGTAGTATAATAAAGAAGTATAGTAAAGTAAGTAGTATAGTCAATATCGAATTCAAGTATAGACGTAGATAAAGTAAAAGTAGTATAGTATAGTATATATAGAACAGAAGACCTATTATCTACTACACAAACTACGACGACTCTACTCTTGACACTACTACACACTACTACCACTTACACTACTACCTACACTACACTACATGACCTACTCACATAACACACTGACACGTACTCTAATTCCCACACGACTACGACACACGACCTACTACTACATTCCACTACTACACTAAAACTACACAACACACAACACTACTCGAACTACTACTACTACGACGACCCGACCACTACTACTACCTACAACACTACACTACTACACGCCTACCCATCGGACTACACTACTCGGACCGTCTACACCCCCACACTACCTACACTACCACTTCTACACTACACCACACGACGACACGTACACCCCACTACGACACTACCACTACCTACACTACTACACTAACGACTACTACTATACACGACTACACGTACACGCCTACCGACGTCAATACTACACACATACACTCACCGGCGCTACTACACTACTACTTCTAACACTACTCCTACCGACTACTACTCTACTGACTACACTACACTACACTACCCTACAACACTACTACTACACGACAACTCTACACGAACTACTCTACAGACACTTCCTACTACTACACTACTACCCACGACACGACTTACTACACTACACTACATACTTCACTAACGACTACACACTAATACACTACACTACACTACTACCCCACACTACTACTACTATCACATACCCTACTACCCACTCTACACTACTACACTACCCTACTACCCACACTACTCACTCTACACACCCTACTACCCACACTACACTTCACTACCCAACTACCCAGCAATACTTCACACTACACTACTACTCCACTACACTTCTCCTACTACCGTACTCCACAACACGACTTAACTACTACCCCCCCCCACCCACCTAAAAACCCCCCCCCTACACCCACCGACACGACTACACTACACTACTACTACACTACACTACTACACTACACTACGTACTACACTACTACACTACAATACAACACTACAATACACACTACGACTACTATACTACTATCTACTACTACTTGACTACGACATACGACGACTATCCCTACTACACTACGTACTATACGACTTCACGACTATACCACTACACT